AAAAAACTCCATGGGAACTCCATTGAGAAAAAAAAATATAGCTGGGGAACCATTGAACCAAACCGGTCAGTTCTTATATGTAACGGTTCGGGTTGCATTCTTAAGGAACCGTTATGACTGGTTCCGGTTTCGATTCCATTTTTATGGAACCGTTGTGACCGGTTCTGATTCCTGACGAAACTGTATCGAACCGAACCGTGTGCACTCCTAGCTAATTGTATTTGAATTTTTTTTTTTTTTTTTTAAATGTTTAAAGTGACTTTGTTTGATCAATTACTAAGAAAAAGAAGAAGAAGAAAATTTTCAAATGCATTTATGTCTAACTAATTTGGTTTTGAAGGTTTTTTTTTTATTAAAAAAAAAAAAATTATATATGCGTACAGTTTAAAGTGACTTTGTTTCAATTAGTAAGGAAAAAAAAATTAAATGGTTGGGAGGGGCAATTTAGTCCCATAAAATAATTTTTCTGACTGAGGGGCAGTGCTTCAACAACAAATTAAAATACTTAGGGGTTTTAATGTCATTGTTTTTATTTGGGTTTTCTGCAAAAATTAAAATTAAAAGGAATTTTATGCAATTTGCCCTAAAAATAAAAATAAAATAAAATAAGAAAACTATCCATTTTGATAAACACGAAAATATTTATATCCTGCGCATTGAAATATCAGTATCTTTCTATCCGACTTTCCCTACGCTCTGCAAATTGATTGTCAGCTGTGTCTTCATCCTCCAAAATTCACGAGTGTGTATATTATATATATCCAAATCATTCTTTCATCGATCCATTGTTTTCGACCTCCGTCGTTTTATGATTCAATCTCCAAAAACGAGTACGCACTAGCCTTTCTGTGTGTCTTGTGCGGCTTCAATTTTTTTCTTCTTTTTGTTTCGTGGTCCCATAAGTTATATTTGTTGTGGTATTTGAAAGAGTACTTTGGCGGAATTGTTACAGAGAATTGTTTGATCAAACATCACGGATTGAGTTTGTAACATATAAGAAGCAATTCTAATTGGTTATTTTTTACCATATATTATTTCGTTTTAGCCGTTCACTAATAAGAAGCAATTCTTATTTTTATGTTTTACCAAGTATTATTTCGTTTTAGTGAACAGATCATTAACTAATCACTTTCAATTGATTATTTTTATCAATCAACTCATTAATTGGTGTAACAATTCCAAAAAAAAAAAAAAAGAACTACTCCATCATGCGCAATATCATGTGTTATTTTACATGGCTAACAAAGAGCCATGTTGGGAACAGTGGTATGACACCCCACTGGACTTTTCATTTAATTATGTTTTTCATACAATTATTTTAATAGTTATAATTGTGCCCCCACTAATCTCCTTAAAACTTTACAGAAGCCCTTAAGAAAAATTCAAAAAGACCCCTCCTTTTTTAAATTCACTAGCCCAACAATTTTCTTAAAAAAAAAAAAATTAAAATAAAATTCTTGTTTTGGTTTAAAAAAACTCATATCTTTTCTCTTCCACGGCTAGCTACAACAAAATTTTAAGTAATCAAAATTCAAAAAAGGCTCCCACTTTGATATTTATTATTTTGATTCAAATTTTCTTATTTGAAACACATTATTACTCGTAATATATTAATGATATGATATCACCAAGTGATTTAATAATAATATATAGTGATAGAACCCATTAAAACATAGTACTTTAACTTACAATTTTTTTATTCCTTAAGTGCAAAATATAAGGAACTTAAATCCTCCACTTTTTTATATTTAATAATATGACCGATTAAAAATTGTAGGTCAATGAATTCACCTTAACTAGTCCACTTAAATATCAGAGTTAGTCTTTTCTAAATTGGAATTCTTCAATGAAACAATTAATTCATACTTCATGCCTTTGGAATTCTAGATGGTAACTAGTTGACGGCTGTGACTTTTGAAACTGCTAGATTCTTTTTCTAGGGCTTGTGTCATACGGGACGCCACAGTCACACCTAAGTTTGTTTGCTTGTTTTATTTATTTATTGGTAAATAAAACTTTACTGGATAAGAAGATGGAACTATTAATTCTTACAGAGGATACATAACGGGCTCAAAAAGGAGAACATCAGCCACACACATAAGGCAACAAACAGAACAGATCGACTGTTAGACCAATCTGAAAGTACACAAGGGATCGAAACCCAACAAACTGAAACTGAAAAAAATAAAAATAAAAATTAGATTGAAGCCAAGGAACATCTCCTTCATCGACCAAACCAAAGCCGAGGATGTTAATAATATATATTGTTGTTCATCAAGAGCTAGCTAGCTACCATACCCTCTGGTTTAATTCTTGCCTCGAACAATCCACAAAAGATCGGTCAGAGGAATAATATATATATATATATATATATATATACAATATTGAACTTGCAAAAAATAACTAGTACACTGATAAACCCTAGCTAGGAGTCAAAGATTTCAATAATATAGTATAGTTGTTCCACTTATTTAACACAAGTTTCCCAAAGAGTTCACTATTTCAAGCTTTGTCTGTGAATATTCATTCCACATTTTCCATCAGTTTTCAAGTACTATTTTCAACACTCAGTAAGGAAAACTGCACAGTAAGGAATTTAAGATAGAAAAAGGGGATAAGAAAGAGAAAAAAAAGTAGATACATCTTATTGAAAGGTAGATACATCTACATCCTGTCTCTCTTATATACAAGCGCTTAGAGTGTTAGTTGAAAGCTTGGAATCACATCCAACTACTACAATCAACACATGCATGAGACTAACTGTCTACTTAACTTACCCATATATATACATATATGTATATGGGTAAGTTAAGTAGACAGTTAGTCTCATGCATATATATGTGCAAAAGTACAAACTCAAATACATTCAAAATTTCCATACCCCATCAAATGAATATATATCAATTTGACTATTTGGTATGTACGTGGTAGACAGATAGAGTCAGTCGTCTTGTATTTAGACTGATGTACGTACTTCCACATGGCCAAGCAATCAACTCAAAACTATTAATATATTTAGAACCTCTAGGAAACCTAGGAATACAAGAGAAAACTCTAAGAATCCAAGCTGAATTTAATATTAATCAATCATATATATATATATATCAAAACTAATAATTTACACTAAATTCTAGGGTTTCAGATGTTACCAAAAATAGTATCGATCAATCCATTGTTTGTCTAACACTGATTGGAGAATCGTTCTTCACCTGCCACTAATCTTTCTGTCCCTATCTTCCACTGTCAATGTGGATATAGAAAATTCTCCATGAACATTTTTGCAGCTTTTGATACCCACTTGTTTTTTTTTAAAACTCAATTTTCTTCTAATCATGTTCTTTGGATTTAGCTAGCTTAAACCTTTTTTTTTTCTTTCCAGAAGGTGAAGACTTTTATATATATATAATTAGATAGCTTAATTTTGATCAAAAGAATTAGTTCAAAGGTAGTTCCTTGCATATAATTAAGTGCACTTGTGAATGGTTTAAATTTATAGCTACTATATAAATATAGAGTTGTTTTTATATAGAAAAATAATTGTTTGTTGGGTTACTCAAAGAGTAAGGCTTTGTATCAGGTTTAAGGAGATTTGATGACTGATGAGGTAGAGAAAAGAAAACTAAGTACCAAAAAGTCGGGAAATAGGGTCTAGTTTGGCTGGTTTTCCATGTCATATGTATTTTATCTTTCTTTGATAACCCATGTAGAATTTTACGAACCACAGTTAAATACTATTCCCTTTTATGTCTTTCTTGGTGTTTCAGCGCCATCTCTTTTTGGATATCTTGATTTGACAGGCTTCCTAACAAGAGTATGTATCAAATTATCAATATATATTATAGGACAATGTTTACCTACTCACCAGTAAGTAGTTTCACATTACTTACTCTTTGTGTGTTTCAATAATAATTTATCACATCAACTTTAATAAAAAAATAACTCACGTTTATTTAATTGTTGATCCAAAAATATACAGGAGGATGTGAATTATTTTATTATTATAACTGATGTGGTAAATTGTTATTGGAACGTATAAAAGGTGAGTAAAGTAAAACTATATGAGTAGTCAAACATTATTCTATATTACATATTCATACCCACTCAAAGCGATATATATAATTGCTATAACTGAGGTCAATCAAATCATTTTGTAGTTGATAAAGTGGTCGCAAAATCATCATGACCAAGTACAGTCTCAAACCATTTTTTATTTTTTATTTTTTCATTTAGCTTGGCAAGAAAATTACACGTACACATACTTTTACCACTTTGGGGGGACTTGAACCAAAGTGAAGATTAAATTGCTAGAGTTTTATTTTTATGAAATTTTTTTTTTTTTTTAAATATATTTTGAAAAGCACACTTAGATGTCAAGAAATGCAACTCCACCCATTATGTTTGTCCGTAAAAAGAAATTTGTCTATTTATTTTCAATGATATGTTTCTATCTTTGTAGGTTCTCTACATTTATGGTAACTATCTCATCAATGATAAATGCATAGGTAGCATTAACCGAACAATGTTCAATATTATATTTCACAAGTGGAATATATAAACCTTATTTTCTTAGGAAAATGAGTCTATTCTAGAGAAAGAAATAAAGAAAAAAAGTATAAAAATACATTAAGGCTTATTTTGAAGTTTGGATAAAATAAAAATACATTAAGGCTAATTTTGAAGTTTAATGACTTGGGTTAAAAAAAATTGCAAAAATAAAAATTCACCTAAAAATTTATATCAAATTTTAACTCTTTTCCCGAAGTTTCTACTTTTAACCCACCTGATTCATTTTTACACAACAAAATTTTAGGTGTTCATATTTTCAAATTCCTTCTATGTGCATGTATGTATTTATGTATATGTACTTATCGAATCTACTTTATCAACACAAAGATTTTATCCACAAAAGTAAAACCAAAGGAAATTTAGCCACAGTTATCAACATTTCTTCTTCTTCTTCTTCCTCTGCTCTTTTTTATGAAAGGAAATATATATTTGACTTTCCGAGAAAAAATATATATAAATTCAAACATTAGAGTACGTTCACAAGGACAATACAAATATCGTCACTTCTAGTTTCACAACTGATACAAATATCAACATAAAAATTTACAATTTACAGATCGAACACACTTTATATAGAATCATATATAGTTTCTGTTACAAGACTGCACCATGCATCGCAAATTTATGTCTCACTTTGTGACCATGCACTAGATGTCTCTCACAATTTCATTCCTTAATTGGGACCTCATCAATGTCACAAAGCTAAGCCCTAAGAATAGTGACTAGAAATTCTCACACATATTGAAATCATCAGTAACTATATATATATGTGCACAAAGTACTGATGAATCTGGAGGTAATTATGCATGTAACCAAGCCTCTAATCATCTAAAATATAGAAGAAGCAAGGCAAGCAGATGAGCAGCCCTTGACAATTTCATTTGCATATATATATAGTTATAATTAGTAGACACTGCGCGTTTCTCAGCCTCTCTTCCATATATGAGAATCTACAAGCCAAGATCAAGGTTCAAATCGGGCAATCCATTACATGTTTTCTCTTCTTCAAGAGTCGCGGTTGCACATGATTTGTCTTTTGAATTTTCATGTGATGCAACTGGTTGGAGATGTTGCTTCAAGGAATGGTTATCAGGATCAATCCCATTTCTTATTAGCTTTCTCCTTAGGTGAGAATTCCAGTAATTTTTCACCTCGTTGTCGGTTCGCCCCGGCAATCTTCCAGCTATAAGTGACCACCTAAGCACATGACATGAATTATATGTATATATATATAAGTACACCTTCAAAAATACTGAGATTTTATTAACCGGAAAAAGAATGAGAGTACTACAAATATTTCCATTAATGAGCTCAAGCAATCAAACTCGATCTGAATATCCGTAGGCAAATCACAAAGCTAACACAAAGAAACTTTATATTATTTTATTTTTCCGGTAATTTGTTATATTCATACCAAAGAGAAATCATTTGTTTTATTATCCTTCCAAAAGAGAAAGAAATTGTGATATATATATATATATATATATATATATATATATATATATATTCATATTCTTCTTATCTTTAATTAATTACCTGTTTCCTAGGAGAGCATGGAGCTTGATGATAAGGTCATCTTCATCTTCAGCAAAGTTGCCTCTTTTTAGGTCTGGTCTCAGATAGTTCATCCATCTCAACCGGCAACTTTTGCCACAACGAAGCAATCCTATATAGAACAATATATAGCAAATTAAAAACATTATATATATATATATATATATATATATATATATATATATTCATTCTTCACTGTATATACATGTGTGTGTACACACCTGCAGCCTGAGGGAGCAGGCGCCAGTTACCCTCACCATGCTTTTGGATATAATCAATGAGCTTCTGGTCTTCATGCTTCGACCATGCTCCTTTGTTTGTGTCTAATTGCTTAACATGACTAGGTTTCCTCATGGATGGATATATTACTTTGAATATATTGTCAACTACTATGTGTGTAGGTGTGTGTTTATGAGAGAGAGAAAACTAGAGAGAGAGACACACTATGAAGAACAGGAAGAAACGTAGATAATCAATATGTAACTATATAGTAGCAGAAGAGTACGTACGGCGTGGTAGTGTATTAATATCCTCCTTGTAAAATTAAAGGATTTTACATTTGACTTGGACTGGTGGTTTTCTTGGGACTTTCTGGTGAAGAGAGGTGATGAAAGATGGATAGGAGAGAAAATTTGATTTACACTTCTTAAGATATCAAACAATTGTTCTCATTGGTTGATTTTGGATCGAATCAATATTCTAGACGCAAACAAATTAACAATTGTGTCAGTGTTTGTAATATATGGATATGATAGATCAATTAAGTTACACCTGCCTTACCTTTCAAAAAAAAAATACACCTGTCATTTTTTTTTAAGAGATGTTAACGGGTCCGGACCGGGCATTGATCCTTTTCCCAAATTTGTTTCTCTAATGATTTTTTTTTTTTTTCTTTTCTAAATCCTGTTCGGAACGCCCTGATATATATATATATATAAATAAGAGAAATAATTCAAACTTGAATAAATTTAATTAAGATAAATTTTGTAATTTTTTTATAGTATAATTAAATATTTAACAATTAAAATAACAAAAATGTTGTTAAAATTTAAAATTATCATAAGAAATAAAGAAAAAAAGAAAAATGATAGGTACCAAAAGAATATTTATTTTTATATTACTTATCAATCGAGTCGGATTCAAGGCTTTGCGAGTTCTAAATTTCCTTTCCAACTCGTTCCTATCTCGATTAGGATATAACCCAAACCCATTTCAATAGAGCCGAAATGGAAAAGAGACGCGGTAAGGCGGGTTCTCTTTTTTTTTTTTTTTTTTTCACCACCTCTCTCCCTCTTTCAAAAAAAATAAATAATTAAATAAATAAAAGATGAAAAATTTGTGTACATATCAAAAAAATGAGAACAAAAAGTTAGCTATGCCCATGAGAATGGGCCTAGACAACAAGGCCGAAGCCATATAGAAAATGCCTATACAAATTCTTAGGGCCCAGTCTCACATACAAAATGACTAGAACATAGGCCCATGATAATAGGCTAAGACAACAAGTCCAAAGCCTTACAGAAAAGATTAAAATTTGATTAAAACAGTGAAGACACAAGCCCATAAAATGGAGCATGAAACCATAATTAAAATATTATACATAGTGATACTGAAATCGAGTCAGCATAAATTGACTTGGTGTTAGGGCAATCTTGTATCGGATTGGATTCGGATGTAATAAGGTAAATATATTGGGCGTGTTTGGCATGCGATATATTTTAGGACCTTTTGTTTTTTATTAATACTAAAACAATCATTTTGTTATATATGCATTTTGGGTAGAAATAGGAATTATATTTGATAACGAAAATTTGTTTTGAGGAATACAAAAATTTGTTTTAGTTTCTTCCGTTATAATAGCAAAACACACAATATTACTAATTTGATGATATTGATTTGGGCAAAAAAATATAAAAAATTTAATATGTTTTGAACTGTTCCAAACTAATATCAGCAGCGTCTCAAACATGATATGGGCTTAAATTTGAAAACTAATATAAGAAAAACAATATTATAACACATTCCAAACAAGGCCATTGTATAAGCACCTGATCTGTTGCCCTTAGATTTAGTGTACCCATGTTCCATCCCCTCCCCTTAGTTCAGTTTTGAAATATTTTAACTAATAAAAATTGTTATTGGTGAAAAATATATTAGGTGTTTAATGGCATATTATAATAAGTAATTTTTGTAATTAAATTGTTCTTATTTTTTTTTTTTTGGTAACAACTAAAATTAGTAACAATTAAAAATAATTTTAATAATTACCAAACACATCTAAAAGCAAATTTTTTAAAATAAAAGAACTATCAAGTGGTTGAAAAGCAATTCCTAGAGGGCTCTTATACATCTTTGTAGATATTTATAGATTTTTATAAAAAAAGAATATCTTTTAAATTTTGTTAGCGTCATCATTTTCTTTTATTTTTTAAAGTGTGTACCTTACTAGATTTTAGTAGAATACAAAAAAAAATTCATAAGTACCACGCACCATATAGTTATAGTTAGATAGTTTATTTATTTTATTATTGTTTTGAATATGTGGCGGTAAAAGAAATTTTTAAGAAGAAAATGAAATAATAAAAAAAATATGAGAGAATTTTGAAAGAAAAATTAGGTTTTAATTGTAGAAAGAAAATGCAAACGTTTTTGAAGATGACAAAAAAATAAAAATAAAAAAATTGAAGAATAAGAAGGAAAATGAATAAAAAATTAAAGATGTTTTTAGAAATAGATAATTTTATGAGAATAATTTATAAATTTTATGGGAATATTTTATAAATATTTACAAATTATACGTATAAAATAAAATATAATATAATAAATTCAGGGGCAAAAGGGTTATTTTATTAATTTTAGGGAAGCATTTTACCACCATTTTTAGTGGGCCAGCATGGGGTAGGGGGAGTTGCCTCCTGGGCACATGCCAGCTCCGACCTTGGTTCTCACAATTTTTTATTAGTAGAGTGGCTCTCATAAACAAATAATAAAATAAAATAAAATTTGTTAGATAGTTGGTACGCTGGTTTGTTACTAAAAAAAAACAAAATAAGAAAAAAAAATAATAAAAATTATGATCTTAGAGTATGGAAAATTTTAAAAACTATACAAAATTATGGTTGGTTGAGTTTTTTCGAAAACAATTGTATGAAAATAATAAAAAGTATGCTTTCAGTCTTTGATAATTATTTAACAATATTTTTCTATTTTATGAATTATTCATAACTTCTGAGTGACAGCTGAGCCAGGTATTCAAGTATATATAAGTGTGTATATATATTTTATAATAAAATTTTGATGGGTGCAGTTGTTTTAATTAAAGAATTTTGATTACCTAATAATTTATCCCTCTTTTTAGGGACATGTTCGTTGTGAATTCTCTGTTTAGAAGACGTGGAAGGCCTCACTGCACGATCGCTCTTTACATCTCACATCTCAACTGTCACTTTCCCGAAATTTTCCTGGTTATATAGTATATACATATACAAACACATATATATCCATTTCCTTCAAGAGATCACCTTGAAAGAGAAACTAGAACGAGAAAGTCAAAACCTAAAAAAATGGCGCAGCTCTCTGAGACCTACGCCTGCGTACCGTTGACGGAACGTGGACGAGGGATCTTGATCTCCGGCGATCCCAAATCTAACTCGATCCTCTACTGCAATGGCCGATCGGTTATCATCCGATACCTGGACAGGCCACTTGAGGTCTCGGTCTACGGCGAGCACGCGTACCAGGCCACTGTTGCTCGGTTCTCTCCCAACGGCGAGTGGATCGCCTCCGCAGATGTGTCGGGGACGGTCAGAATTTGGGGGACACGCAATGAATTTGTCCTCAAGAATGAATTTAGGGTTTTGTCGGGTCGAATTGACGATCTCCAGTGGTCGCCGGACGGGATGAGGATCGTTGCTTCCGGTGAAGGCAAGGGCAAGTCCTTCGTTCGAGCTTTCATGTGAGTTTGATCTCTGTATTCATCTGTTTTTGTTAAGTTACGTTTAAATTTTTCGGGCATTGGTAATATAGATAGAACACAGAGAAGAAAAGCCAATTATAAGAAAAAGTTGTGTCTTTGTTGAATGAGTGTTGGACACTCCTCCTCATGTTCCGAGCACATCTTGGACATGGCATGATCTAAATATAAAGTTCTTAATTTTGGAAGCATTTTTTATATATTTAATTCTTAATTTTGAAAACATTACTGACGTGTGGCATGTGACAAATGAATCTTGATTGTTGATGTGACATTCTATTTAGCATAGAGAAAGCCTAACTGTAAGAAAATCAAATTCAATGTTTATAAAAAACTGGTATAAGTTTACAAGTTTTACAGTTTTTAAAAACAAAAGATACCATAAATTTTTATTGAAAGAATGGATGTTACATGTGAGAGTAGGAAGCTCAAATTATGTGTATATATACATTTATATATTCACACACACACAAGTATATGCATACAAATATATGCAATGCACTTATCATATCTTTTTCTATTCAAATGAGGTGGTGGTAATTATATGATTTACCATTTTCATCCTTCATGTTGCAGTTATGAAATACTAAATCTACTTAATGGAATGCAATTCGCGGTTTCCGTATTCATGTCCTCCCTTTTTTTACTATTTGTGTGTCAAAACTTGTTAGTAGTGTATACAAAACATATGCATTTCAATGAAGAAACATATAGAACTTGTTGTAACGACACACTTTCTCCTTTATATTAATTTGAAGTAGAGAGATTATGTAAATAAATTTAATGCAAGAAACCAGTTCATTGCAATGCATTATTGTGAAATGAATGTTCTTGAATGTATCATAGCAGTTTTAACTTCCAACCAGACCGCACTAAAGTATAAGTTTGTACATTAAGATATGTTTTTATGCGCAATGTATAACTTTCCAAGTCATAAAAGATTTTAGACTCATCACATTGATGCCATGTTTACAACGAAAATCTTTATTTTGTGTTTCTCTTTAATAATCAAATAATAGTCAGCATAATCTCACTCTCTCTCTCTTCATCTTCTTCATATATTTATGTTTTATTTGAAATATCATGACTACTTATGTTTTATAGATTCATATTACTGTTGGCATGCTTTTATTTGTCAATTAATACTCTGTTATTGGCTGTAGTTGATAAGAATGTCTTGAATAGGTGGGATTCAGGAACCAACGTGGGAGAATTTGATGGTCATTCAAGGAGAGTTCTAAGCTGTGCATTTAAGCCAACAAGACCATTCCGCATTGTCACATGTGGGGAGGACTTTTTAGTAAATTTTTATGAAGGGCCACCATTTAAATTCAAGCTATCTCACAGGTTTGTTGTAATGAAAATTAGTATCATGAAATTTCAGTCCGGCATGATATCTTTGAACTATTTATCTTATAGTGTGGTGTATATTCAAGGGGTGGTTCAGGAATCAGCACTCTGATATGTGTCAGCCTCTGGTTAATATGGTAGTCATACTCAAGGTTCAGTCGTACCAATATAAACTTCTTGTATGTAACTGAATGCAATAACCTTTCTTAATCAATGTATTGAGAATTATAAATTATTTTGAGAATAAAAAACATATGCATAAGACTAATAATAATAATAAAAATTATGTAGGAATGTTGGATAGGTTAGAAGAGGGCTTCTGTTTATGATTAGGCTAGGAAGTACAAAGTTCCTCAGGCTGTCATAGGCCTGTGAAGGGTATTGCTGAACAGTGAAGGGGTTTGTTGATGTATGTTTTGTGAACTAGGTTTCGATTGGAAGGAGTAGGGGTTTGGGCATGTTAAATAGAATTCTAGTATAGCAAAAGTGTTAAAAAGGTCCGCCATGAGGTTTAAAAGCTTTTGAAGTGCAAATATGTAAATAAATGAAGGAAAGAAGAAAAGTTAGGCATCTTAGCTTCTCTTAGTTATTATGTTTGGGAGTAGAGTTTTTATCATACAATCTCTAAAGATAAAATTTCTTTTTCAAATTTAAGGAGTTACATGGTTGTATGTGCCCTTTAGATGATGCATATCAAATCAGTTGAAATGGTTTGGTCATGTGCCTAGTTGAACTCTACTCGTCCTTTTAGCGAGCTCAAAAATTCAGCTCATGCTTGAATCATTTGGAATAACAAATATAACTTGGACGATCTTTTAGTGATTGAAGGTTGAGGCAAGGTAAAGGAGCTTGACTTGTTCTATAAATAACCTTTACAACTTTGAGGGACCTCTCATTGTATATGCATAAGAGTGTGAACAGATTTTGTGTTCTCTTGAATAAATAAATTATTAGAGTGACTAAATCATGGATTATTAAAATCGCACGCAGTTTAACTGCTGTAGAACTAAGGATGCTTTTCATTTCCCAAGTTACTGCTTTCAACAAGGAACTAAATTTTGTTTCAGTCCAAAGTTTTTTTTTTTTGAAATTTTTTTTAATGGTAAAGTAAACACACACACTTTTGCCCACACCCGGGATTGAACCTCTTCCCTCCTCTTTGAGGATGGGGAGGTTTCAGTCTGAAGTTCTTGTCAGCTTGGAAATATAAAAAAATGTTTGAAACTGCAAAATTCATGAAAGTTGAAACTCTTGGAAATGCTCGAAAGCATATAACTAAATAATTTGTATGTGAAGAGCAACCAAGTAATTAGTTACTTGTGTTTAAGGCTTAAACTCTATCCGCAGTAAGAGGCACTAGTTTAGAACTAAGTGAATACATTAATGTGATCTTGACAGTTCATGAACAATATAGAAGTTCCCTACAACGTAGTAAACAATCTTTATAATTTTTTTTAAAGATAAATTTCTAAAACTGATGGAATAATGTAGTTACACAAAATATTATGGGGAATGCTTTAGGCAACAATTGGTAATTTGAGTTGGCACAAAAAAGTCTTCTCATTTGAGTATTATTTATTGTTTAATACCATTAGCAAAATTAAAAGAGAGTCCTGCTTGAATTCAAAAGAAGGAGAAAGGATAGGAACAAGGGCTAACAGCAGATCAGATAGAATACTTCTTTTACTTCTTTTTTTCTTCCTGTAAGAGTCACTTCTGTTTCAAGTGTAAACATCCATGGCATGCCGGCTATGGATCCCATGAGTTTGGAGAGACCAGCCATCACAATGACATCTAGTTTGGAAAACTTGTTGAGAGAAACAAATGGAAGAAATGCCCCAGTTGCGGTTACTGCATTGAGCGTGTTGCCAGTTGCCATCAAGTAAGATGCAGGTACTCTGTTTATATACATGGAGTTTTGGAGTGCAACTTTTAAATTCATGGACCGGTGTTTTTCAAGGCCCTACTTGCCTTTTAAGAAAAAAAATACGTGATTTTAAAAGACATTGGCTTTGAGTCTATGAATTTGAAAGTTACGCTCCAAAACTTCATGTATTTGTAATTTTTCCTATATACTGTAAATGTAATATGTATGTATACACTAATGCAATTTTTTTTCAACTTTTAATCTTTTGGATGTAGGTTTTGATTGTATTAGTGTATACATACATATTACATTTATAGTATATAGGAAAAATTACAAATACATGGGAGTTTTGGAGTGCAACTTTCAAATTCATAAACTCAAAGTCAATGTCTTTTAAAATCGTGTATTTTTAAAAAAAAAAGGTAAGTTGAGAAATTCATAAACTCAAAGTCAATGTCTTTTAAAATCGTGTATTTTTAAAAAAAAGGTAAGTTGGGCCTTGAAAAACATTGGTCCATGAATTTGAAAGTTGCACTCCAAAACTCCATGTATATAAACAGAGTACCTGCATCTTACTTGACAGCAATCGGCAACGCGCTCAATGCAGCAACTGAAACCGGTGGCATTTCTTCCATTTGTTTCTCTCAACAAGTTTTCCAAACTGGATGTCATTGTGATGGCTGTTCTCTCCAACCTCATGGCATCCATAACCGGCATGCCATGGATGTTTACACTTGAAACAGAAGTGACTCTTAAATTTTATTTTCTGAAAATATAAATTGTAAAGAAGTAGATTTGTTTGGAATTTCGAACTGCTGTTTCAATACAGGCATGTACTTTGGTCAAAACAAAGTTGTCTCACTGGAATTCGAAGGAAATGACTTAATTACAGTAAAAAAGCATCACTTTCTATCTTCAACAATGATTTTGTTTCGGGAGCATGGGAAAGTGAAAAATGTCCAGAAACAAAAATGTTCTGCTGTTTTGATGAAAATGTAACAAAATTTTATTCTTTGGTGTTACAAAAAATTTCGCTTTATTGCTCTGCAGGGATCATTCAAATTTTGTCAATTGTGTAAGGTTTTCTCCAGATGGCAGCAAATTCATCACTGTAAGTTCTGATAAGAAGGGTTTACTGTATGATGGAAAAACTGGAGAGAAAATTGGAGAGCTGTCTGCAGAGGATGGCCATAAGGGCAGCATTTATGCTGTTAGCTGGAGCCCGGATAGTAAACAGGTAACCTTGCTTCAAGTTGATTTTTAAAGTTTTGATTGTTGTGCAGATTTCATTTAGTGAAAATTTTGATCCTCCCTTATGTTCTTAAAAGATGGTTTAACCAAATTTTTTGGAAGTGCTCGGAAAGATTAAAAAAGTAGCATCACAATGGCTTGTGATAACTGTGAGATTTATTAAATTATTTCACACAAGATCATTGTTTGGTACAAGTTTCTTGGTTGCATGATTAGTAAGATTGTGACCAGCATACGTGAAGAGATAGACAGGCGGACCAGATTAATTGAGTTACCTCCTTAACCTCCCAAGGGGATTGGTGAGGGTTTGAATCCTTATAGAGACAAAAATGGGTGCGTAAGTTTCTTGCCAATGAAAAAAAAAGAAAGAGATTTTTATATTATTGTTTTTATTAAATTAAATTTATAGATTAACAGTTATATTTTTTAATTGTGACTATTATATAACACAAATAATTTCTAGTGGCAGTTTGAGATTTATATATTATTGTTTTTATTAAATTAAATTTGTAGATTAATAGTTATATTTTTTAATTGTGTCTATTATATAACACAAACAAATAATTTCTAGTGGCAGTTTCTTTGGTTTAAATTTAACAGCCCTGTGTTCAAATCCTTATTCCATTTGTTGTGATACTTTTTACTCATTATTTCCCTTCACAACACACGCTCGTGTCAGTCATATACCCACAAAATGTGCCAATTCGCGGATTGCAAAAATGAATTTGCGCTCTATCAATATTGAGTTCGCGGATTTTCAACGAATCTGCTCCCAGTTCGTGACCCATGTATACGAATTATGTGACCTAGGTCCGAACCAGATAGGCATAAATAATTATTTTCATTTTCTTTTGCTTAGAAGTTACCCATTTCTCCATGCGTCTTTCCATGTTCGCTTTTAGAATTTATAGATAGAGGGATCATTGTTTGGTGCAATGGTAAAAGCTTGGACTGTTTAGTGTGGGTATATGGGTTGAAGACTGAAAGCAGCTGCTTTTTGCAAAATAATACCAAATGTTAGGTTCCTCTCCACTCTTTCTCTCCCAGCACCCCGCATAGGTGGGACCAGCACTGAAAAATGACATTTTTTGTAAGTGGGCATATAACTAACTCGGTAACTTATATATTTAACAGTAGAATCTTGCATTAATTGAACATTATATTTGTGTTTTCTGTATCAAATGCATGCTCTCATGCCAAAATTTTTCTTAACTCATGATGTACCAATATTAAGTAGTGATTCATCATTGTAGGTGCTGACTGTGTCTGCTGACAAGTCTGCAAAAGTATGGGATATCTCTGAGGATGGTAATGGAAAGGTGAAGGAGACACTAACTTGTCACGGCTCTGGTGGAGTTGATGACATGCTAGTTGGGTGTCTCTGGCAGAACAATTATCTAGTCACTGTTTCTCTTGGTGGCACAATTAGTTTATACTCAGCAAGTGATCATGATAAAACCCCTCTGTTGTTATCTGGACACATGAAGAATGTTACTTCGTTAACAGTGCTCAACAGCGACCAGAAAGTTATATTATCCAGCAGCTATGACGGTATAATAGTTAAATGGATTCAAGGCATTGGCTATAGTGGTAAATTAGAAAGGAAGGTGAATTCTCAAATCAAATGTTTGGCAGCTGTTGAAGAAGAGATTGTTACATCTGGATTTGACAATAAGGTGATTAATTGTTTGATAAATGCACGCATATATCCCTCAATTAGTATGTGGAATGATTATCTCACTTTTTTCCTATTATTTTTTGTTTATATCTTTAAGAGGAAACTGAGAAGAATTTGTCTTGGATTCTTTTCTTGGTATCCTATTTATTCTGTCTAAGCAGTATGCACCATGGTTTTGCATTATATTATGTTATATACTGCAGCTGGTCACTAAGTGCACATATGAACTGATATAAAATTTCAAGGACATATTGATGCATGCATGACTCGTATTTCTCATCAAACATTTCGTCTTTTCCTGTGTCTATCATCAACATTTATAATAATTGAAATATGATTTCTATAGACAAATTTGATAAACTCATAAACTCACTGTTACTCTTTGAGTGTTTCTAAATGGCTGCTATAGGTTGTATGCAACTTAGATTGGAACTATGAAGTTATGAATCTATAATGAGTAAAGAAATTAGATTTAGTTCTCTTATCTTTAGTTTCACTTTTCATCGAGAGTATGACAGTAAAGAATGTGTGATAATTTGCTGTGTTTATGCTCACTGCAATAGATATGATGGCTGACACTGCACTTGTGTGTTCAAAGATCGCTATCGAAGATGCACTTTATTGGTAGATTAGGTACACAATTAGATAAATTATTGGTGGGAAATTCACAAACTATGCCTGGAAAAATTGTCTCTGGTTAGAGAATCAATTGAATAGTTTCTATTAGTAGACCCCAAATATTGATAATGTCTTTTTTTTTTTTAGATAAGTGATAATGTCTTATATTAAAATTATTAAATGAAAAATGAGATAAAATAGCTTTGATCAACTACTGTCTAAAAGTCACTAAATCTGGGCACAATTTCACTTGCCATTTTTCACTTCGATGCAATGGAAGATATTTCCAACTCTATGTGATGGATTTTTGTTACTTACAGTTGATAATTGGTCTTATTATTCTGGGAATATTTTGTCTCTTAAAAAAAAAATAGTGATTTTAACACATGAATTCTTTAGTTTTAGATCATATCATGATGGCAACAGTGTTTTTGTCCAAAAGTTGCAAACGTTTGATGGCAGGTGGTAAAAGACAAATCTACATTTTCATAAAATGAATTGTCCTTTATGAAAAAAAACTTTATGGGAGGATGATGTTTTGTAATCCTTGCATCAAATGTGCTTTTAATCAGATTCCTTTATCGTGGTGCGTGGCACATCCTCTCATTGTCTCCATTAACTGTCTTCCAGTGTTGTAATTGATGATTCACGTACTGACCGGCACTTTCAAGAATCAATGGTTGAGTTGATGATTCATAATTCTGTGTGGATATTGTTACATCTCTATTCTTGGCAGAAAAATCATGGAAACCCAGACATCAAAACAATACAAACTAGAGCATATTATAGATTTTGGTCCCGTAAAACATATTAAACAGAGAGAGAGTTCAGTTATGCCTAACTGAACCTTGATCAACAGGAAATTCATTGCGCTCAGTTGAACCTTGATCCCAATACCAGTTGTTAATTTATAGGAAGAGTTAGTGCGAAAGTTCTTCAATGAACTACTTCAATGTTTTTCTTTTCCTTTTCCGTTCCCTTCTCTCTTTTCTTTTTCCCCCTTGGTGAAAGATACATATAACCTTTAATTAAACTCAAGATCAAACATAAATTATTGATCAAAGAAGTTGTATGCTACTTCTGATTAGTATCTATCCTTTTGTATAACACAGATTTGGAGGAATTCTCTACATGGAGATCAATGTGGGGATGCAAATCCCATTGACATTGGCAGTCAACCAAAGGACTTGAGTCTAGCCCTTCGTTCTTCTGAATTGGCCTTGGTTTCAATTGATTCAGGAGTTGTCCTCCTTCGTGGTACAGAAATAGTCTCAACAATTAACCTTGGGTTTGTTGTGGCAGCCTGCACAATTGCATCTGATGGAAGTGAAGCTATCGTGGGTGGCCAGGATGGTAAACTACACATTTATTCTATCAAGGGTGATACACTTACAGAAGAGGCAACCCTTGAAAAGCATCGGGGTGCTATTACTGTCATACATTACTCTCCAGATGATTCCATGTTTGCTTCAGGAGATGTCAATCGAGAAGCTGTTGTCTGGGATCGTGTCTCACGAGAGGTACTTTGTTCCTCTCTCTCTCTTTTTTTTGGTACATCATTTGGCTCTCTAAGTATAGTAATGTTAAGATTGTTTGTATTAAGAAGAAAGTATTTGCTGAGTCATTAGTGTTAATCCTGCTATTTTGTCTGCTGAGTCATTTTTCTGATAATGAAAGCAAATTGAAATTCTGTATTGCTAGTATTTTGTGTTGGTAAGTCAAATAGATGATTTCTAGAGACATGTTGAGTACATTTGCACGTGATTGCCATGGGCAAGAGCTATTTCTTTGGCTTATGCAACAATAATTGGCACTGCATTTTGGTCGGTACCTTCATTATGTATATATATAGGTTCTAACCAAAATCTCATCCCATGATAATTGTTACTCAGGTTACTTTATGATGTTTTGTTGCCTTAGCTGAATAGCATCTTTTTCGAATGTCTAGCAGCATTTATGATTAAACTGCAGAAAATAATGAGATTGGATAGTTATCGTCAGTTAATAAGATTTATTTTAAAAATAGTAAATACTGTGCTATGTATTGATCTGCTCCAATTCTTTTAAATTACTTGCTGCTAAGTCTTGCATATGCTCGAGGAAGATATTTTGTTTTGATTTTGCATTGGTTTTGTATCTTCTGTAAAGTTAAAGTAAGTTCAAAATTTCTTTTGGATACTTCTAATTTTACGTGTTTTTGAAGAAAATTCAAGTTTTGATATTTTAAGGATTGACATCGTGACAAAAGTTATAATATATTTATTTATTGTTATTATTATTATTTTGTTTTAAATATCGAACTGAGGTTTCTAGTCACATGTTTTTCTTTCTCCTCCTTTTTTTTTTTTTTTTCCTTTTATTTATTTTTTATTATTATTATTTTGCAAGTATGAACATGGGTTCAAGTGAAGGTGGGTGTTGAGTTTTCTCTATTGGTTAAACTAGAGAATGACAATTAAACATGGGTATTCCAAAACTTATTCATATTGTTGGGCATTATGCACACAAATAAAAAACGTTTATTCTCTTTTTTTTCTTTTTGTCATAATTGTGTAAAGGATGGTACAAGTTGTTCATTATATTACCAAAAGAAGGCAAATTATATTCTATATGAACTAGGGTCACAACCTGTTCCAGTTCATCCTGGGAACTTCTTAGTGAAGAGGTAGATATAGTATCATCTGAGATTCTCAGCCAATGGGCCTGATTGTTATGATTTACTGTCAAATAGTGTCACTTGGAGTGACAGTGCCAGCTCATTTTTCTTCTACTTAAATAACAAAGGACATCTTCATTTTTGTTTCTCCTTACCTAGTTATTATATCACACTTGGTAACTCGTTTGACAATTTCTCTTGCAGGTGAAGCTGAAGAACATGTTATATCACACTGCTCGAATAAACTGCTTGGCCTGGTCTCCCAACAGCAATATGGTTGCTACTGGATCACTTGACACGTGTGTTATTATATATGAAGTTGGCAAGCCAGCATCAAGCCGTATAACCATCAAGGGAGCTCATTTGGGTGGGGTTTATGGTTTAGCTTTCACCGACGAGAACAGCGTGGTGAGTTCTGGTGAGGATGCCTGCGTGCGTGTATGGAAGTTAACCCCACAATAATCTAGACAAAGGCCATCCGTGGGGTTCCCAGGTCATGCATAGAGTTTGTTAGATGTGCCATGTTTTGATGTGTGTTCTTTTGTGAATTCGTGTGCATTGAAGCAGGAGAAAAGGACTGGGAAATTTGCAAAGAAAGTTTGATTTGCCTAAAAATTGGTCAGTGTCGTGAAAAAGCATACCAGCTCTTTCAGTTCCATCTGCATATTCTGTTATCAACTGCTAGTAGGATGAGCTGTATTTGGATATTAGCAGCTTGTGATGGTAAGGTTTTCTCTATCATTACTATTCATTAGTGATCAAAATATAGTTGCTCTGATACAACGACGGTGCGGATAGATCTTACTCCCAATTAGGTTCATTGTGAGCGAGACCGTGTGACCATATATGAAGGTGTAGACGATGGTATTGTATAGGATGATGTGAACCTACGATATTTGAACCATAGAAGTCGTTGCACGGTACATTATCAGGAGATGATCTTGCCAACAGAGATTATGCTTATTGGAATTGCTGGAGAATCATCGAGTTAAATGTCTCTATTTGTATTGGGTTTCAGGAGAAAAGAAACTGTTACAGATATTACGGGCTGGTGCTTGGAGTCGTTTTTGTCTATTTATTTATTTTAATTTATCTTTTGACAATTGAGGTTTCTGAATGTGAGTGTTTCGTTTTACTTTTGTAGTAAACGAGCTCTATTTAGAGGAATGATTTCTCAAATGCAGCAAGTCCTGAATGTATGGTTTTAGGGTTTTAAATACTAACGCCTATTTGCTTCAATGTCAACAATATTATGGGAGACTCCTGGTGGTTTTATATAAAATTCCTCTATGACTCTGCATATTTTACCTATTCAAAGATGTTTGGGTATCTGGATGTGCATTGCTATATTTACAGCCCATATGGTATGAATTTATGAACACCCCACAAAATTTTCTCAATTGTAAACAAATATCGTTTTCAATAGTGAATTTGTATAAGAAAATTAGTGTTAGCTCCCAAATTTTTCTAAATTTTTTTTTTCTAGTATGGTAATTGAAGGTGGTTTGTGAATGAAATACTTGTGATTCTTTCAAAGTCTTTAATATTGCTTTTAAATTTTCAAATCTAATAAAAAAAAAAGTGTTGTAATTTCTTTCTACAATATAATATTACTATGTTTATATATACATATAGATACACATACAAATATATAAATTACTTTTTATGATTTAAAAAGAAAAGAAAAAGAATAGTGGACAATTGACAACCTCATTTATCTTAAGCAATCTTCTCTCTTTATTTTTCTTGTATTATTTATAAATGTTTTCTAAAAAATGTCACTAAAAATGCACCCAAAAAAAAAAAAAAAAAAAATTTGTTATAATTATTTTCTTTTATTTTATATTACTACTTCGGTCCTCCAAATGAAAATTTCTGGCGCCGCCCTATTCATTTAGGCGTGTTTCAACATTCTGGTTGCATTTTGTTGGATGAAAGTTGAACAAAATGTGGCGGTAACCCGATGTAGAAGGAAGTTAAAGCTTCAAAAATAGCAGTTGGTAACCGTCTTTTGATTTCAAACGGCTCCTTCGTGGCTCAAATTAGGCCTTGGGCGGCCAACTTGGTCCAGTAAAATTCTTTCATTTGGGCCTATCCTTCCTCGCCCAACACATACTTATGACATGTCCGTTGCAATAAATAAAGAGTTGGTCATAAGAATTCATATAAGTCAAACTCTCGCACATTGGGATGTAAGAATTTTGCAGTGACTCTAGCTTCAGCACAATCATACAACTCCATATCAACTATAATGGTTATATCTATATTCTTTGAAGATTGAAAGAAATTTCTTGGGAAGTGAGACCAAAAAAACCATTGCCTATATATATAAATATATCTATTACAAAATAAAGTAAAATAGGATAATGTTACTACTACATACAGTATATTGCAAGAATTAGAGTTCAGATATAAGTCCATGCATCCAATGGAACGAGAGAGTTGGTGCATGCCTGCATGCATGACTCTATCTATTACGTACAAAAGTAAAATACTCGTAGGATAAAATTATTGTTAATAATTAGTGTTCAGATATGAGTTCATCTATATTAGGTGTCCAAATCCACGTCAAGTACTGTGGACTTATTTATTGGCTATAAATTGAGACGCTCTCTAACTTTCACAATCACCAAAACATTATTGCTATTTTTCTAATATTAGTTGTGAAGATGAAGAAATCACTGCTAGTGTCTGTGCTTTCTCTTCTTGTTATTCAGTGCTGCTTGGCGTATGAAACCAGACATGGCAGGAAAGGAGGGCTGCTCAGAGAAACTTTTCCCAAGGGCTTCTTGTTTGGGACGGCCACTTCAGCTTATCAAGTGGAAGGCATGGCGGACAAGGACGGCCGAGGTCCCAGCATCTGGGATGTCTTCGTTAAAATGCCCGGTATATATATATATATATATATATATATAGTTGCTTCCTAGCTTGTTTAGTTGTTAATGTCTTTTTTCCATCTACAATCCATTTTCTTTTTCCTTTTTCTGTTAATGTGTTTTGCTATTGAATTTAATTTATTATAATATAATCCATTCACAGGAATTGAAGAGAATAATGCTACTGGAGATGTTGCTGTGGACCAATATCACCGTTACAAGGTAAGATATGTTAGCCTTTGCTTGGCACAAAAGCATGTACGAATATAATTAATTATTTACTAATATACCCCATGTGTGGGGTGATCATAAATTCATACCATATGGGTTGTAACTATATATTTAAAATTGTCAATCATAACACAAATATATGACATGCACTTCATCTCTTAATTCTCTGATGACAGGAAGACATTGATCTCATGGAAAAGCTGAACTTTGATTCCTACCGCTTCTCAATTTCATGGTCCAGGATATTTCCAAGTAATTAACTCTATATATTACCACATTAATATATATATATATATATATATATATATATATATATATATATATCTCACTACTCTATTTGTGTCTGTACTTATTATACACACACTCTGAAATCCTGTGTGTGTTTTAATGTAGATGGAACCGGGAAGGTAAATGAAAAGGGAGTTGCTTATTACAACAGGTTGATCAACTACATGCTCGAAAGAGGTACATATATTAATTGCTTTTATTGATAGCTGTATATCAATATAATATACAGATACTTGTACACACACATGCACAAAGGGTAGGGGTGACAATTCTGGTTCATGGATTGTATTCGTATCGTGTTGATGTAAAGGTATTATATTAAATAGGTAAACTCAAACCCAAACCCAACTCATTTAATAATAGCGTCAAAAATCTTAACATTAATCCAACCCGTTTATTAAACAGGTAAACGTGTTAACCCATTTAATGATCTGTTTATCAAAACGAGACCTTTAATATTTAATCAAATACTAAATAATAGAAAAAAAAATTGACATAATTAATCCAAATATTCAAAATAAAAAGAAAAATTATAAGGCATAGACAAGGTTTAAGTTGAAATAACATAAATATTCATAGTAATTGGGTTTAAATAGATAACATATTACATAGGTCATATTCACGATTATAACATGTCGAGTTAAATGGATCATAAACGGGTTACATAGGTTGAACCCCTTAACCCTAACCTGACACAGTTAAATAAACGGGTTAATCGGGTCAACCCTTTTATGATCCAAACCCAAACCTTTTTAACTTGTGTCGTAGACAAAAATCCGAAACCTGTTCAACATTACTGCATTACTGCTTTAAATCATGTTTCGGTTGCAGGCATTACTCCTTATGCCAATCTTCATCACTATGATCTTCCTCAAGCACTTCAGGATAAGTACATGGGATGGTTGAGCCCTCAAGTTGTGTAAGTACATGTACTTGATTTATACACTTTTGGTATATATATAATTTCCAACATGGAACTTTTGATTATTATGTTTTAATGGTGCAATTAATTTAATAAATGATTCAAAGATCCACAGGGAGGACTTTGCCGATTATGCAGATTTCTGCTTCAAAACATTTGGAGACAGAGTGAAGAACTGGTTTACATTTAATGAACCAAGAGTAATGGCTGCACTTGGGTATGACACCGGATTCCACGCGCCCGGAAGATGCTCCAAATCATATGGGAACTGCACTGCTGGAGATTCTGCAATTGAGCCATACACTGTCACTCATCATTTACTCTTAAGTCATGCAGCTGCAGTTCAGAGATATAGCGACAAGTACCAAGTAAGCCCCCTATTTTTTTTTTTTTCAAACACTCTGCCCTCAGTTTAATTAAATGTTTCACAAAGGATTAAAAATAGAACTAATTATGTTAACCAATATATGCATATAATTACAGGAAGAACAAAAGGGAAAGATTGGCATTCTCTTGGACTTTGTCTGGTATGAGCCTCTTACAAATTCAAAGGCTGACATTGATGCAGCTCAGAGAGCCAGAGATTTTCATGTGGGATGGTAAGAACCAAATACACACTCTCTCTTGACACTGAATTCTTTCTATAAACTTGAGTTATATGGTATTATTGAGTGGTTCTTTCAAATTTTGATGATTTTTGGCATAGGTATATTCATCCCCTTGTATATGGTGAGTATCCAAAAACAATCCAAGAAATTGTTGGAGATAGACTGCCCAAATTCAAAGAAGAGGAGGTCAAGATGGTAAAGGGATCATTTGATTATGTTGGTATCAACCAATATACTTCTTATTATATACAGAATCCACAGAATCAAACCAAACCAACAGAGCTGGGCTACCAACAGGACTGGAATGCTGGATTTGTTTGTAAGAAATTGTCCTACTCTTCTTAGCAGTAAATATATATATATACCATCTTCATTGTAAACATAAATCCTTCTGTTACTAATTATATTGACCTCTTTTCCCGAACTTGGGCTTAATTTGCAGATGAACGTAACAGAACGCAGATTGGTCCAAAGGTAATTTTAGCCACATTGTACATTGATCTCTACGTCCAAGTTCACATCTAGATTTTATTGATCTTTTTTTTTGTTTCAATTGCTCACAGTTTTAGCTTTTTAATTGCATATCTGCAGGCATATTCTGATTGGCTTTACAATGTACCTTGGGGTCTGTACAAAGCGATGATGTACGTCAAAGAAAACTACGAAAATCCTCCCATTATTTTGGCTGAAAACGGTATGTATTTTTTAACATTTTAAATCCATACAATCAGATCATTTGATAGACAAGAATATATGAGGACTAGTTGTTGTGTTTTAATTTACACATGATTTGCAGGCATGGATGATCCGGGTGATGTGACCCTCCCTATGGGTTTGTTCGACACCACAAGGATGAATTACTACAAGGGCTATTTGAGGGCACTGAGACACAGCATTGATGAAGGAGCAAATGTGATCGGATACTTTGCGTGGTCATTGCTTGACAACTTCGAATGGAGATTAGGATACACTTCAAGATTCGGCATTGTTTATGTTGATTACAACACCCTCAATAGGTACCCCAAGATGTCTGCCTATTGGTTCAAGGAAGGTCTTCGCCGGAGCAAGCATTAGGCCACCACCCTATTTGTGTTTATAAATGTTGAGGCATACTGTATATATATATATATATATATATATAGTTAGGTTTTAGTTGTATTTTTTTAGAAATTAAACAATCAGTGTTATGCAGTGAGGTAGCTTTAGTCAATGACTTCATGCTCTTATATGTCTTTACTTTCTTAATAATAGTTTTTTTTTTTAAGTTATGAATTTAATTTCTTTTCTCTCTGCAATTGCAACCTTGCTCATTTTGTTTTTGAAACTTAGCTCATTGATTTTACCCAAAATTAAAAAATAAAAATGAAAATAAAAATTTATTCCAATTTGTTTTAAGCAACAATACCATATCCCCAAATAGATCTATGAGAATATGATGGTTTGTCCATGTAAGATCACATATTCAAGGGCGGATTTAGGAATTGTTATTGAGGTGGGCTAATTTTCCTTTGGGTGGACTAATATTAATAATACTTTTTTTTCTTTTTTGGACCAGGCTAAAATTGCCTTGGTAAAAAAAAATTCTTTTTGTTTTTTTTTTGGGGAATGTGCTCAAACCCACCGAAGCCCACCCTTACATATGCCCTTCTCATATTGTGTCTGTTTGCTATATCTATTGAAAGTTTGGATACACACACACATATATATATATGCGAGTGTCTGTGCGCACGCGCCAAGTTTAGCTGGATCATGTATTGTTTCTTGGTGCCAATCACTCTTGGCCTCGCTTTACTGTTAGGCAACCACGGAGCTTTGATTCTACTTGTTGGGGGACCGTGTAGGGCGAGGGAGGGGTGAGCCCACCCCCAAAATTTTTTTTTTTTTTTTTTTACTATACTACTTTCAGCCCAGTCCAAAAAAAAAAAGAATTTAGCCCACCCAAAATTAGCCCAATCTTAAATTAGCCCACCCCAATCAGTAATTTTGGATCCGCCCTTAGTGTTGGGGAAGAAGTGCAACCATTCTCAAATCACCAATAACGCGCACCGGAAGTGCATGCGACCAGTTCAAAATAGTACAACTGCGATTGGACTTCGTCATAATACAGTTGTAACAACAACAACAACATGGAAGATCTAATCAAACAATAAAACAATTACACACATGCATACACAATTCACCCTAAATCTGGGTTACGAAGGGGATTTTGATCATTATAATGATGAGAATATATTACAACTTTTAAAGTATGACCCACACCTAAATAAGTTATTCGGGCGGAGGTTAAGATAGCTGAGCCTTGCATCGTTACTGCAAGACAATCTCTATTTTGGACCACTCTATTTACTATTTCATAGAGTCCAATCATGAATTTGACTAAAAGATTGATGTAGACATTAAAAAAATACTATTCATTTATTCAAGTCACAAACTACCCTTACTAATTTAACAACGGGATCAAAAAAATAATTAAATTTTGATCACCGATCATCAAAATGGTTTGAATAAAAAGTGATACATGTGTATACAAAAAAATGATATCTGTGCACATAAAGTGATACCACTATTACATTACCAAAATCATGATAGCACTCTTGTGCATATAACTATTTTTGTGCCTAAAGGTCTACCCTTTTTTGTGCAGACCATCCATATATATATATATATATATATATATATATATTCAGCAATTCAGAGGTATAAAATAAAAGGAAAAATAATTACATGAATACGAGGGGAATTTCCCCGGCCCAAACACTTGTGCACAGTAAAGGGCAAATACATAAAAACAAGTCCACACTAGTGGCCCAAACAAAACAAAGAAAGCTAAAAAAAAAAAAAAAAAAAAAAAAAAAACAATACTTCAGCCCAGCCCAAAGTACATTAACAGTTAAGTCAGATACACCCAAGCAAAACTAACACCAATGCATAGCAGTGGCACGGTGGCCGGCCGGGATCAATCAACAAAGATGAAAGTATCATATTACGGTGGGCTGTGTGGTGGTGGTGTAGGGAATGTCTAATGGATTCGAGGGAAAGAAAATAACGGATTTGTTCACGTCGACCTTTTAGTCAAATTCATTTTTTTTTTTTTTAAATTCTCAGTTCTTTGACTCCATATTAAATAATGATTTAACTGTCTATTTCGTTGTAATCTTGGCAACATTTTATTTCCTCTTTTGAAAGGAAAATAATCAAAGTTTAGTGGTGGATTTCAATAGCTAAAGGAATTAAAAGTGTTTAGATGAAGATAAGACTATCGTTTTGAATGCAAGTCCTCCACTTATTTCCTATATCATCGGCATTACTAGTAAAAATATTTTTTTTTTTTTTAAATACAAGTCATGTAATTCACTTTGACACTTATCACGACTCAAAAAAATTTCACCACAAATCCTATTGTCACCATACACGTTATTGTGACGAAGAGATTTGATGCATGCATGACTCTTTAGGTTTTTGCATCATATTAGGAGATAAAATTCATGTCCAATAAGGGTTAATTATTGTCTATAAATACAGACCCTGTCGTTAGAAAGATTCACAATCCACCTAAATATTATTACTGCCATCGATCTTTCTTTGTTTATCTAATACTATACTAGTATTGTGAAGATGTACACATCATCATCATCATCATCATCATCATCATCAACGTTATTAGTTATACTTCTAATATGGCTATGGTGGGAGTGGTGAAGGTGAATAAATCATTGCTATGGCATATGAGACCACGCATGGCCGAGGTCCCAGCAATCTTCCTTAAAATTATATATATATTACTTTATCGTATATATAGTTGCTTCCTTGTCTTGTGTCTTTTTTTCCATTCACAATATGGTGGTTTTTTTTTTCTTTTTTCGAATTTAATTTATTCTAATGATCATTCTCAGGAATTGAAGACAAAACTGGTACTGGAGATTAGGACACAAGATGTCTGCCTTCTGGCTCAAGGAAGGACTTCGCGGGAGCAAGCATTAGTAGTTGTTTAGTCATAATATACTTTTGGTTGTTTAGATATATTTTAGTTATTTAATGTTTTAGTTGTTTAAGTGTATTTTAGTTGTTTAGGTATATTTTAGTTATTTAAGGTTTTAGTTGTTTAGGTATATTGTTTAGAAAGAAAAAAACCAATCAGTATTATGCAGTGAAGTAGCTCTAGGCAATGACTTAATCCTTATATATTATTTACTTTCTTAATAATATCTTTTCTGTCTACTTTCTTAATAATACTAGAGTCGAATGGTGAATTTCTTAAAAATGAATTTGACTAAAAGATTGATGTAGACATGAAAAAAATACTATTCATTTATTTAAGTCAAAAAGTACCCTTACTATTTTAACAAGGGGATCAAAAAAATAATTAAATTTTGATCATCGGTCATCAAAATGGTATGAATCAGAAGTGATACATACATGCACAAAAAAGTGGTATATATGCACACAAAATGGTTCCACGTTCTTTTACATTACCAAAATCATGATAGCACTCTTGTGCATATAAGTATTACTTTGTTCAGAAATGTCTACAATTTTTTGTGCAAACCATTTAGATGATGATCACCGGTCAAGGAAATAGTAAGGGTAGTTTAGTCACTTGAATAAATGAATAGTATATAGATATATATATTTCAGTAATTAAGAGGTATAAAATAAAAGGAAAAATAATTACAAGAATACGAGGTGGCATTCCCCCGGCCCAAACACTTGTGCAAGCAAAAACTAAGAGCAAATAATAAAAAAAAGTCCACACTAGTGGCCCAAACAAAACAAAGAAAGCTACAAAAAAAAAAAAAAAAAAAAAAAAAAAAACAATACTTCAGCCCAGGCCCAAAGTACATTACAGTTCAGTCAGATACACACAAGCAAAACTAACACCTATGCATAGCCATGGCCAGGATCAATCAACAAATATGAAAGTTATCATACTACGGTGGGCTGTGTGGTGGTGGGGGAGGGAATTTCTGATGGGTTGGAGGGAAAGAAAAGAAAATAAAAGAAAAGGAAGGATTTGTTCATGTCAATCTTTTAGCCAAATTCATTTTTTTTTTTTAAATTCTTCACTTTGACTCTATAAAATAATAAATAATGATCTAAGAACCTATGTAGTTGTAATCTTCACAAGAATCACAACATCTAAAAGGAAAATAATGAAGCTAGTTTAGTGGTGGATTTCAATAGCTCAAGGAATTAAAAGTTTTTAAATGAAGATAAACTATCGTTTTTAATGCAAGTCCTCCACTTATTTTCTATATCACCGGCATTACTAATAAAAATAAAAATAAAAATAAATTATCTTCCTTCGGTTCTACCACTCTTCGTATATAAAAAAAACAATCCAAATTTTTTTTTTTTTTTTTTCTCTTCTAAATACAAGTCAAGTAATTCACTTTGACACTTACCACGATATCTGCATACTTGATAATTCATGAGACGTAAAAAAAAAAATCACAAGTCAAGTTATTGGTCACAATTCCTATAATTACACGTTCATTTATTGAGATGTCTCATGCCTTTATAGAAATTAAAAATATAAAATTTTAAGACAAAATTACCCTTTAACTTTTTTTTATCTCTCCTTTTATTCTCCTCTCCTCGGTGTTATCCCTTAAATCTATAACATTTTAGATTGCCAAAAAAAAAAAAAAAAAAAATTTATTTTATTTCCTTTTTTTAATTATATTTTAACTATATATATATATACTATATATGGATTCACGTTCGTTTCCTATAATCACTATTCATATTATTTTCTTTCTTTTTGGATTTGCCAAAACAAGTAACATTATGAGAATTGATTATTTTATGTCTTTTTTTAAAATTATATTTTAACTATATATATACGTGCTTTATTTTGATAGCAAGTGATATATATATATATATATATAATGACATGAAAGTAATTGAAATAAAAAACTTATACGTATATGAAGGTAGTTATTTATACATACATACATACATACATACATACATACATACATATATATATATATAATATGTAATATATATATATATATATATATATATATTACATATTATATATATGCATGTACATCAATTAAGTGAGGAAAAAAAAAAAAAAAACCTCTATGAATTGTGATTATAGGAATTGAACGTAAATCCATATATAGCATATGTATATATATAGAGAGAGTTAAAATATAATTAAAAAAAGGAAATAAAATAATCCATTCCCATAATATTATTTGTTTTTGTAGTCCGAATTGAAAGAAAATAATATATTCCTCTTTTTATTTTTTTGGAATGTTATTGATATAAGGGATAGAATTGAGGAGATGAGAATAAAAAGAGAGAGATAAGAAAAGGTTAAAGGATAATTTTGTCTTAAAATTTTATATTTTTAATTTTCATAAAGGCGGGAGACATCTCATAAATGAACGCATAATTATAGAAATTATGACCAATAAGAATCACAACTGGAAATAAAAATTCAGATAAATAAGAATTACCAAATCCTATTGACCAAGAGATTTGATGCATGCATGACTCTTTAAGTTTCTTCATCATATTAGGAGATAAAATTCATGTCCAATGAGGGCTAATTATTGTCTATAAATGCAGATGTTAAACAGATTCACAATCCACCATAGTTAAAATATAATTAAAAAAAGGAAATAAAATAATTCATTCCCATAATATTATTTGTTTTGGCAATCCAAATTGAAAGAAAATAATATATTTCACTTTTTTATTTTTTTATTTTTTAGAATGTTATTGATATAAGAAATAAAATTGAGAAGATGAGAATAAAAAGAGAAAGATAAGAAAATGTTAAAGAGTAATTTTGTCTTAAAATTTATATTTTTAATTTACAAAAAAGTTGGAACGCATAATTATAGAAATTGTGACCAATAAAAAGATGTATACATCATCGTACTAAATACAGACATGTCGTTGGACAGATTCACAATCCACCTAAATATTATTACTGTTATCTTTCTTTGTTTATCTAATACTATAATAGTATTGTGAAGATGTACACATCATCGTCATCAACAACGTTATTAGTTAAACTTCTAATATGGCTATGGTGGGAGTTTTGAAGATGAATAAATCATTGCTATGGCATACGAGACCACGCATGGCCTAGGTCCCAGCATTCTTCCTTAAAATTATATATATATATATATATATATATTACTTTATCGTATAATAGTTACTTCCTTGTCTTGTGTCTTTTTTTTCCATTCACAATATGGTGGTTTTTTTTTTCTTCTTTTTTTTTTTCTGTTAATATTTTTTTCTTTTTTGAATTTGATGTATTCTAATGATCATTAACAGGAATTGAAGACAATAATAGTACTGGAGATTAGGACACAAGATGTCTGCCTACTGGCTCAAGGAAGGACATGGCGGGAGCAAGCATTAGTAGTCGCTTAGTCATACTAATATACTATGTATATTCTTAGTAAGGTTTTGGTTGTTTAGGTATATTGTTTAAATTTAGTTGTTTAGGTATATTGTTTAGAAATTAAACAATCAGTATTATGCAGTGAAGTAGCTCCAGGCAATGACTTAATCCTTGTATACTACTTGCTTTCTTAATAATATCTTTTCTGTCTGCAATTGCATCCTTGCGCATTGATACACTAACTTAACCCAATGAATGAATAATAAAAAATTATGAGTCACAGTTTATAAGGAGAACATTTAAAATAAGACAGAAAATTGTAATTCACCACCAAATACATAGTAATGTAATCCTTTTAATATAACAATAACTTAGTTGGTATAAATATAAATAAGTGGTTATTGTAATACTATCCAACTTAAGTTTTTGAATTTTTTTGATAAATGGACAAAACTATACCCAATCTTTGAAACGCGGCAAGGTTACAAATGGTATGAATAGGTAGGCATGTATCACTACTTAATAGTTTAAATTTTTGAATAAATATAATTATTTTTTTTTTTTTATGATATTTGATTGTCCTAAATTAATTTTTGACAAATTATTATATAGTCCCATGAACTCTGAAAAAGTAAAAATACAAAAATATATTTTACCGGAAACAACCCTAGTTGAATGGTGGTTGAGAGGGCAAACTTTTAAAAAGACAGAAATGATCCTAACAACCGTTATATGGGTTATATATACAAATACATGGCATGCTATACAAAATCCCCAATTTACCATCTTGGCAGCTCTATGTCCCTCTATTTGTTTTAAGCAACAAAACCCGAGCCATCGTGTACTCTCGGTCTCTCCTGGCCCATGATTTCCCTGGGTTGATCCACAAGTCCATTTACTTCACCGCCGAGCCTTTCATAACAGACTTGAAGAAGAATCGGTGGTGTCCCTTTTTGAGGTAAGTATTGCTCATACTAAGACTACAAGTTTACTATGTCGTGTTTGTATATTGCATAGGATAAAAAAAAACGAAAGAAAAGAGAGAAGAGTCTTGGAAAAATGTTACCTTTCAAATTTACTATCTTTATTGTCTCATCATTACATTTGAATTAAATCTCTGGTGAGAGATGATGCAAATACATCATTTGAATAATGCAGCTTAGGGTTTGATGTCTTAGCTTTTGAGTGGGTTAAAAAGAGTGTCAGATTGTACATATGGTTGAAAAAATCGATATTAACTGAAACTAAAGTGATAAGGTTATGATGCGTGTCGCATTTTTATTGGACAATAGATAGATTACGTTTGCCACCTCATCAGCTGCATTAGGATATGTAATAGGTGAGCGCTTACCCATTTATCTAAAAGCTCGAACTAATAGGTAATGTTGCATATCCATCCTTTTATATAGAGTTCAACCTCATCCAAATTCGATGTGGGACAAGTTTTACTTGTAACATTCTTTCCTACTCGAACCCACGCAATGCCCTCGATCGGACCACCCTGCCTATCCGGCGACAAACCTGGACGCCTTCCGGGCAGGGCGTTTAGCATAATACCGGATTAAAAATTGGGTCTGGTTCTGATACCAACTGTAACGATTAGGTACTTGCCCATTTACCCAAAAGTTTAAACTATTAGGTAATACTATATACCCACCTATTTATATACACTTCAATCCTTCCAAATCCGATGTGGGGTAAGTTCTACTTATAACAGGATATAACTACAAACGCTGCCCTTTAATTTAAGGGCAAAAAGGTCATTTTATTTTTCTATTAACGGCCGGTTCCTGCCTTGTCCTTACTGTGTGCATTCTGGAGGTTTAGTGCAATTAATTCTACAATTTTATATAGGATAAATTATACTGATTTTCTCTTAAATTTCGTTAATATACACAAACTTTCATCTTTTTTTTTACCAAATTACATATACATCCCTTGAAGTTTATATTTTTATAACACAGTCTTCCCCTCTGTAACCCTGTTAGCTGCTGTTAGTGGTCAGCATAGACGACCTTACATCAGCAATTGTTATGCTTTAAAATTCCTAAAGTGTCCTTTTACTTATTGTGAAATTTGACCTTACTTACTCGAATAAATTTATCAAAACACCCTCCAATGATATTATTTTTTTACAATTGCCATTGTCTTCTTCTTTTAAGTCCTGTTTCTGCAACTGGACTCCATTAGAGCTACTCTCTAAGCTTTCCCTCTCGGCAAAGTCTTCAAATTTTTTTTTTTTTTTTTTGTTATAAAACTATTTAATGCAATAAGGTATGTTCCTAATATAATAGTTTTCTTTCTTCATTACTCTCAGGTCATTACGGGTCTTCAAATTTCAAATGCTTATTTTGGATCTGAATTATAGTTGGTTTAATTGAATATTCACTAATAAAATACATTTTCTCCTCTTTATCATCATCAAGAAAAAACATGTTCTTCTCAAAATGTTGAACTCTAGGATCAACTTCGTTAGGCCTTCAGGATCATTTAGGCTCCAATATCATTTTGTTGACTTTTGTTTTGATACTACTTTGTTCTAAATAAGCGTCATAGATACACACACAATACTCAATAATTTTTGAAAGAGAAGTAGATGGAGGAAATATTTTATTTCACTTATATTATTCCATCTTATTCATCTTATCTCTACATCTAAAATACTTAAGTACATGAGTTTGTACAGGCTTCCAAGACATATATGACCAATAACAGTTCAATTACCGATTACTCTCATTAACATATATATATATATATATATATATATGATATATCCTTTAGTAGGTTTTACATGAGTATAATTTCCATGCCTCTTGCTTTTATGTAACCATCACCATCACATTAATTCCCATTAAGATAATTTAATATTCACTAACATGCTAAGTGCACAATACTTAAAACCGCTAATTAAATACTAAAATTCTAAAATCAAGTTTATTTTTCAACAAAAACCTTTTGAGTTTGGTCTCTTCAATACTAATGTCCAGTAGTGGACTGCTAAATCTTCTTCACCACAGGTTCTTTTTCTTCTTCCTTCAAAGGATTGTATATGTGTATCAATACTATATGAGTATTGATGATTAATTGAACATGTATATATATATGTGTGTGTGTATTTATAAAAATATATCTATTAGAGTTTTTTTAAATAATGAGGAAGAAGGAAAATTGTTCTCAAATGTAGTTGAAGAGTGAAGTTCTGTGGTTTAGTGTATTGTTCTTGAGTGTATTGATTATTTATTGACCATGTGGCTCTGCTGCAACATGGAATTGAGTTTTGAGTGTTTATGATGGAAGACGAGGGGGTTTCGGAATGGACTGAATAAGTTTTGAGAAATGAATAAAAGATGATGGACCTTTTTGTCTTTTCAAAATCCATCATTTTTACATTAGTGAAATACAATAATATAGTGAGGATAGGAATGTAATTTCATATGATATGTTACACCATCCATTCAATAGATCTGATAAGGGAGGTTAGTTTTATTTAACAAATAAGGGGAAAGGTGTGCGTATATTGACGAGACTTTAAGAGAGGTTAGTGTAATTTATCTTTTTATATATTAATGTTGACTGACATGTTTGTGAAAAAGAACTCCCATTTAACCTAAGTAGTAGATACTTTTGGTAGTATTGTATACTTTCTCCTAATGGACAGTCATGCTTTTGAAAAAAAAAAAAAAATCTCCATTTTCTATATATCAAGAGCAAATTGAGAGTTTTTATTACTGTTTATTGATTGGGGTACCTTTGCAAGTACTCCCTAGGTGTTGTATACTTTCTCCATCCATTTTAGATGTAAGTCGAAACTCTGGCCCACATGGATGTTCTCTTTCTCATGCTAGTTGTGAAGATGAAGAAATCATTGCTAGTAGTTGTGCTTTCCCTCATTGTTATTCCGTGCTTGGCACATAAGCCCAGGCATGGCAAGAATGGCGAAGGGCTGCTGAGAGAGGGGTTTCCGAAGGGGTTCTTGTTCGGTACGGCCACTTCAGCGTATCAAGTGGAAGGCATGGCTCACAAGGACGGCCGAGGTCCAAGCATCTGGGATGCCTTCATTAAAATTCCCGGTAAAATATATAAATATATATAGTTGTTTCCTTGTTTTATGTCTTTTTTTCCATCTACAATCCACTGTTTTTTCTTTTACTTTTTCGGTTTTTTTTTTTGAATTTAATTACTATAATAATACATTAACAGGAATTATAGAGGATAATTCTACTGCAGATGTTGCTGTTGACCAATATCACCGTTACCAGGTAATATATACTAAGCTTTTCTTGGCACAAAAGTAAGTATATTGTTTTTAGAATTATATATTTATTTATACATGTTCTCTTCTCTGATGACAGGAAGATATTGATCTCATGGCAAACCTGAACTTCGATGCCTACCGCTTCTCAATTTCTTGGTCCAGGATATTCCCAAGTAATTAACTCTATTACAACATTATTTTCATCATTTCTTTGAATATATATATATATATATATATATATATATATCACTACTCTTTTTGTGTGTATATATGAGCGCACACATGCACACACAAATCCTCTGTAATTCAATTTTTTTTTTTTAATGTAGATGGAACTGGGAAGGTAAATGAAAAGGGAGTTGCTTACTACAACAGGTTGATCAACTACATGCTCGCAAAAGGTATTAATTTATTCCCTTTATTGATTGATAGCTGAGAAAGTATACAATACCCGGGTACTGAAAACTCTCTATGAACTCTCCACTTCTCTATTATCAAGGAAAACAGAGTTTTCATTGGAATAGATTCCACGTGTCAAAATATTCGGGATATTGTATACTTAATTTCTCCACATGGGCAAAGGGTTGCAAAATCCAAAACCTGTTTGACATTAATACTGCTTTAAATGTATGTTTTTGTTGCAGGCATTACTCCTTATGCGAATCTTCATCACTATGATCTTCCTCAAGCACTGCATGATAGGTACCTGGGATGGTTGAACCCTCAAGTAGTGTAAGTATGTCATTACAAGCAATAGCATACTTACCATGTAGTTTCGACATCTTGATTTATATACTTTTGGACTATAATTTCCAACATGGAACTTTTGATTTATGTGTTAATTTTTTGTTCTGCCTATGGTGCAATTAATTTGATAAATGATTCAAACTCTGCAGGAAGGACTATGCGGATTATGCAGATTTCTGCTTCAAAACATTTGGAGACAGAGTGAAGAACTGGTTTACATTTAATGAACCAAGATGTATGGCTGCACTTGGGTATGACAACGGCATCCATGCCCCCGGAAGATGCTCCAAATCATATGGAAACTGCAGTGCTGGAGATTCTGCAACTGAGCCATACATTGCGGCTCATCATTTGATCTTAAGTCATGCAGCTGCAGTTCAGAGATATCGCAACAAGTATCAAGTGAGCCGCTTATCTTTTTATTTTTTTGTCAAACAGTACTCTGGCCTTACTTTAATTGTTAAATATTTCACAATGGATTAAAAAGAGAGCTAATAATGTTAAGTGATATATATGTGCACATAATTACAGAAAGAACAGAAAGGAAAGATTGGCATTCTCTTGGACTTTGTGTTTTATGAACCTCTCACAAATTCAAAGGAAGACAATGATGCAGCTCAGAGAGCCAGAGATTTTCATTTGGGATGGTAAGAACCAGACACTTAATTGTTCTCTCAAGACACTGAGTGGTTAATTCTTTCACATTTTTGTAATATTGTTGTTAAATTTTTTTGCATAGGTTTCTTGATCCCATTGTATTTGGTAAGTATCCAAGAACAATGCAAGAAATTGTTGGAAATAGACTGCCCAAGTTCAGAGTAGAAGATGTTAAGATGGTAAAGGGTTCATTTGATTATGTTGGTATCAATGAATATACTACTTTTTATATGGAGAATCCAAAGAATCCAACCAAAGCAAAAGAGCTGGGCTACCAACAAGACTGGAATGTTGGATTTGCTTGTAAGATATATTCCTCCTCTTCTTGACAAGAAAAATTATATATTTTATACCAAAAAAAAAAAAAAAAAAATCCATCTTCATTGTATGCATAAATCCTTCTGTTCCTAAATTATATTGCTCTCTGTTTTTTAAACTTGGACTTTGCAGATGAACGTAACGGAGTGCCAATTGGTCCAAAGGTAATGTTAGTTCACATCATACATTGATCTCTATGTCCAAGTTCAGATCAAGTTTCCGCAACAGATTTTATTGATGTTTTTTGTTTCTATTATGTATGAAAAATGGAGTACTCTTAGTTTAAGCCTTTTAATAGAATATCTGCAGGCAAATTCTGGTTGGCTTTACATTGTACCTTGGGGAATGTACAAAGCAGTGATGTACGTTAAAGAACACTATCAAAACCCTACCATTATTTTGGCGGAAAATGGTATGTATGTTTTTTTTTTAAACCTTTTTCACATTTAAAATCTGATACAATCTGCATATGGTATTAATTTCTGCAGATAATTGATAGGCAAGTATATAAGAGGTCTAATTATTATTATTATTATTATTTATCTACACATGATTTTCAGGTATGGATGATCCCGGTAATGTGACCCTCCCTAAGGGTTTGGATGACAAGACAAGGATGAATTACTACAAGGACTATTTGAATGAACTGAAGAAGGCAGTTGATGAAGGAGCAAATGTGATTGGATACTTTGCGTGGTCATTGCTTGACAACTTCGAATGGAAAGCGGGGTACACTTCAAGATTTGGCATTGTGTATGTCGATTACACAACCCTCAAAAGGTACCCCAAGCAATCTGCCTATTGGTTCCAGAAAGCACTTCGCCGGAACAAGTATTAGGCATTATGTTATAGTCCGGGATCATGTGGTCTCGGCCAATCTATTTGGGACTTGTATGATATTGGAACGCTTGTCTAAGTTCTGCAGGCCACCTACACGAAAAGAACCAGGCGGAACAAAATGGTATTGGTGTCAAATCCACCGGGAGTCCATGATCAATGCAATATTTCTGGACCTATCAAATTATCAATGCTATTTAATGTTAATTTATTTACTAATTTTGGCCTGATTTTGGTATTAAAGAAAGTAGAATTGATCACATCTAAATATACCAGTCAAAAAAATGGGGATCTAAGTTGCTACAAAAAATTGGGATCTACGTTGCTACTTGTGGCTGTTGATCACAACACTTTTCTTATACATTACACATACGAGTTGTGAGCCATCCAAGCTGATTAAGAACCAAGCAAAATGAAGAAAATAAAATGTGAATACCAATTATGGAAAAAATAATAATAATACCATACTGACAGTTTCATGTCACAGTTTTGTGACAGAAAACCTAATAGAAAACCACAGGTCCACAATATATATATATAATAAAATTAAATTAAACCACATATATAAAGTACTCAAGATATAGTTTATTAACTTCTCATTATAACATACATTATACAAATATTACCAATAATCTTACATAAATTAAGCTTATGGATTTAGTGCCACACCTAAGAGTCATTCCAATTAGACCACATTAGTGAATACGTTGGGGTAGATCACGAATCAGATCAGTTCGGTTTGGGATAAAGTTCAATTCGAACCGATCCTTACAGATTAGAGAAATTTGAAACCAAACCAATTCATGAAAACCTTCAATCCGAACCCAATGGATCCGTGAAATAACGGATCGGATCCTACGGACTGAGCTTTTCAAATGGTCCAATATGATTACATATTATGACCCATTAAAGTATCAAATTAGTAATTAAAAACTAATAATTAAAACTAGAAAAAAAAAAAAAAAAAAAAAAAAAAAAAAAAAAAAAGAGATTTTTAAATCATATACAAGGTAACAGGCTAACAGTAACAACAATAAAATTTGTAAATCATATATCTAATAACAGCAATAGATTTGTAAATCATATACCTAATAACAACAATAGATTTGTAAATCATATACCCAATGAGTAATGAGTTTGGGAGCTAGGGTTAACTTAAAAAATAATGAATAAAAAAAAAAGAAAGAAATACAGTAAGTATATTCAATATTGTATATATATATATATATATATATATATATAGGCAACGGTTTGAACCGGATCAGTTTTTTCAAAGCCTAATCGGTTAACCGAACCGCAAATAGCAGATTGCTATTTTTTTAAACCATCACCGAACCATAAGATCTGAAAACCGAATCGAACTACACGGATCAGATTGGTTCGGACCGAATTGACAGATTCACGAATTATTTGCTCACCCAATAGTTCTCTTATATCAATAATTTTCAGTGAATTTGTTAACTTAAAAGGCCCAATAAGTAGCTAAAGGCCTCGAAAACCCACCCATTTGATTTTTTTGAAATTATGCACACCATTATAAGAATTCAAACACAGTCTCTCTCAAATAACCAGAACCCACTATGAAAATGAAGAAAAGATAGAATAAAAATTTTAAAAATAAAATAAAATACCTCCAAATTATTTTGTCACGACCCTAGATCATAATCCAGATTGTGAATATAAAACAGAACAAATAAATGCTCGTATTCAGAAATGTCTGACCGAGCCCTGGAACAATGTCAAAAAAAAAAAAAAAAAAAATAATAAAACTTTAATGTCCATAGCTGATAATAGAAAAATCCCTTGATTCAAAATCATTTTAAATAAAGTTCCCTATTCACACATTATCTCAAAATATGAAAGTGGGTTTCATACGTAAAATCCCATAATCATTTAAATACAATATTTAAACACGATCTGTTTGGAAAACATATTTACAAATATACATACTGGTCTCAAAATATACATTTCCCATTTAGACAAAGATAAATAACCAAATAGAACCCAACATCTATCCATGGCTGTGGAGGAAATCCCTCTACGACCTCTTGTCCATAACCTGAAAAAAAATGTATATATAATAGGAATGAGCAACCACAGCTCAGCAGGAAATGCCTAACCACCACTCCTTAATACCCCCATGAATCCAAACAAAGAATAGGAATCAGAAAGGGAGTCATGCTAGTCAGGAGAAAAATAATCATCACATAATCATGCTATCACACAAAAACAGTCAACACAGAATAGTATAAAGTGCCATATAAGCAGAGTCAAAATCATTCCCCTTAATACAACCTTCTATACAAAGTATCACCTTTCTAATTAGCACAACCATCAGTCTAAAGGTAAACTCCTGTACCGTGAAAAAACTACCCCTTTATTAATACCTAAGGAACCCTTTAGTATTAATGATTTACTGTACCTAGACAAAAGGATAACCACTCATGTCTAATCATAAACACGAACTGAGAATATCCATCTCTATTACTCCATAATTACCACATTTTTTCCAATCAATACCTTAGCTGGTCCTACACTATGCCGGGAGAAAAATAACCACAATATCACATTTATAAACCAAGTCATGAATGGATATGCCATGCAATGGGTGCAATGTCATGCGATGTCGCTTCCCATTTTTTTCAAAACCATTTCCATTATCATTTCCAAACCGTTAGTAAACCCGTCCCATGGCAACTCCATAGCGGCACGAGAAGAGGATTGGTCATTATCCCTGACCCATGGCAACTCTATGGCGTCATTTGGGGCCAAGTAACACAACCACACTAGGGCGATCTCCCTAATCCCCTCTAGGCCTCACTAACGCCACGGTCCCTAGGCAACTCCTAGGAGACCGGGTTTTTCACAAAATCCTTTTCAAAATTCATTTCCAAAAATCCATATCATTTCTTTCAAATCATTTTTTCTCATTCTTTCCCAATAATATGCATGAATGTCACATGCTTCACAATATTATAATACCATATCATTACTCACGTCAAAATCCTATTCTATGGACACACTTTGGCAGCAAATTTATCATGCAGCATGTTTCAAGGACAATGTATCATTCAGTTTTTGAACACTAATACAACACCAAACTTATAACAAAACAGCCCATAATTGAAGTGAACTAAATATATAATTTCCAACTTGTCAAACAATAACAATATAACCATTGTGATTAATAGAATTTCAGTTTTAGACACATAAACACCAACATTTTAAGAGCTCAAATTCCATATTTAAAACACATAACACATCATTTCTGTCTAAGTTACAAAATTTCAGATTTTTATTACACAACATACTTGTAAAGAAAGCCTAATTTAAGTCATATAATGGTTCAATTTAAAATATTTAGTTCACAAGGAAACAAAGGGTGTGAGGGTTAAAACAACTCCTACTAGTTATTAACAATTCATACACAGCTTGTTACCTCCATCTTTGAAAATTCATAATAATTTCAATTCTATGTCAAATTGAGTGATTCCAAAGCCTAATGAAAGCTTAAATAATGTACTTTGAAAGTGTCAATTTAGTTTAATAAAATCCCTTCCCAATTGGAACAGTTTTGACCCAAAATTTCAAAATAAATTCTGCCCAGAAAACTGATTTCCAACCTGTTGGTTCCAACTTTGAAAAATCATAAAAAATTCAATTCTCATCCAAATTAAGTGAATCTAAAGCCCATTGAAAGTTTAAAGACTATATTTTCAAAATAAAATCTTACTTCACCAAAATCCCTTACCATTTAAATCAGGTTTGATGAGACTCGGACAAAATTTGCCCCAACCCAGAATTTCCAGCAAGAACACTATAACTTCAAAATTTCGTAATAAATTTATTTCTCAACCAATTTTAATGAAACCAAATCTCAATGAAAGCTAATTAACTATATTATCATAATATCAAATCATCTCTAAAAGATAAATTACGAATTTACATGAATTTGAGCAAAACAGTAGCATATAATTAAGTTTCAGCAGCACAGAATTTCAATTTTATTTGTATACACTTTGCAACTCAAAATTTGAAAGAAATTAACTCACTAAAGGCAAAGAAATTGAGGGTTAGACAATCCTACCTTTTAGCAGCTTGAAAACCCAGCTACCAACAATTTAAAGCAATCCAAAGTAAGCTACCAATTTTGCAAAAAGATGAAGAACACCTCTTGAAATTCAACCAACCGTTCCCTTTTCAAATCAGATTATAAAATCCCAGTAGTGAAGAAATGATTGCAACTTTGCTACCAAAATGAAGCCCAAGACATCAATTACACTTTTCATTAACAAACCCTTCTCAAAATTCCAACACTAAAGCTTCAAAATGTCATGTAAAGAAGACTACTATGAAGGAGAACAAAAGGGACGAAAAATGGCATTATGCATGTTGTGTTTTGTGTCTATTCTATTCAATTGTAATGCTATATGTCATCACACACACACACAATATGTGGCCATGTGAACCCCCATGTGTCAAGCTCACAATTAGTCAAAAGCAAGACCAAGCAAAAATGACCAAAAAGTTCTTCCATTATTTCTAAATGCCAATTATGCCATGTGCCTACTAAAAGTTTACTTTGCCCTATATAAAATAATGAAATACCATATATACCATTTGTAAAACAAAAAGTCTATAATGCCCTTTATGAAATAAAAAAATGACATTTAACTAAATTAAACACATTTGCAACTTAAATCATAATTTCCGACAATAAAATAAAAATGCATGAATATCAAAATAACCAGAAAAATGATAAAAATGCAAGTGCTCACATATTTTCCCATTGATTTTTTTTATTTGGAAGGTCAAACAAACTACATTATATATTACAGCGGAAAAAAGAGAATTTACGAAGAGTGGGCTGAGCCCAAAAAGAAAAAAAGCAACGGGCTAAAGCAAACAGCCCAAGGGCACCAAGAGGCCCAAACTCAATTACAGCGACTGTTGTAACGGTTAGAGATGAGACAGTGGCCTGGATTGCAATGCTTCGCGCCAAAGGAGAGTCTCTATATGAGCAAGACAGATGATGCAACGCAATCAGTGATTCCCTTCAGAATCGAGGAGGCGGTAGAGGTAGAATATTTAAAGACACTGGCATTCCTTTCGAGCCAAACATGGTAGATATTGGTTCAGAGTGCAAGTTTGCACACCAAGTGTTTGATAATTTTACGCCCTTGCCAACTAAAGCTGCTGTTCTCATCTCCTTGTCCATCTATTACATGTTCTCATCTCCTTGTCCATCTAGTATTAGTAATAAAGATGAATTCTTGAGTTGGCTCAAACTTCTGTTTTCTTGGAATTCATTTTTATGTTTCTTATTGCATTTCCATTGCAATAAATAAAGAGATCGATAGTAATAAGAATTCCTATATAGCCGAAAGTCTCGCCCATGGGGATGTACAATTTGGGCGTGACTCTATTTTCCGCACAGTAAGACAAGTCCCGACTGTGTCATATCTATATACTTGAAGATTTATATATCTATTACAAAAGTAAAATAGGATAAGATTGCTTATATCGTTTTGCAATAACAGACACCAAATGGAGTTCAGATATAAGTCCATCCACACATGCATGACTCTTGAAATTAGGTGTCCAAATCCATGTCCAATAACTACTAATTTGTTGTCTATAAATAGAGACCCTCTCTTGGATTCACACACACCAAACTAGTTGTGAAGATGAAGAAGTCATTACTAGTAGTTGTGTTTTCTCTTCTTCTTATTCAGTGCTGCTGGGCATATAAAATCAGGCATGGCGGGAATAGAGGGCTGCTCAGAGAGAGGTTTCCCAAGGGGTTCTTGTTCGGGACGGCCACTTCAGCTTATCAAGTGGAAGGCATGGCGGACAAGGACGGCCGGGGTCCCAGCATCTGGGATACCTTCGTTAAAATTCCTGGTAATATATATATATATATATATATATGTATGTATGTATGTGTGTGTGTATTTATGTAGTTGCTTCCTTGTCTTATGTCTTTTTTCCACTGTTTTTTTTTTTTTTCTTTTCTTTTTCTGTTAGTTTTTTTTTTTTTTCCTTTTCAATTTAATTTAATTTATTATAATAATGTATTCACAGGAACTATAGACAATAATGATACCGCAGATGTTGCTGTGGACCAATATCATCGTTACAAGGTAAAGATATATTCAGTTGTTCTTGCCACAAAAGCATGTAGTATAGTATAGGTAATACCATATTAGCAAAATATATTGTTTTTAAAAATTATTTATACATGTTCTCTTCTCTGATGACAGGAAGATATTGATCTCCTGGCAAAACTCAACTTCGATGCCTACCGCTTCTCAATTTCATGGTCCAGGATATTCCCAAGTAATTAACTATATATATAACTACATTATTTTCATCTGTACTTTGAATATATCACTATTCTTTTTGTGTTTGTATATACACACACATACTAAATCCTCTGTAATTCAATTGTTTTGTTTTAATGTAGATGGAACTGGGAAAGTAAATGAAAAGGGAGTTGCTTATTACAACAGGTTGATCGACTACATGCTCGAAAGAGGTATTAGTTGCTTGTATAGATAACTGGGCTATACAAAGTGCACACACATGTACAAAGGGTGACAAAATTAATCCAAAACCTGGTGGACATTAATTAATACTGCTTTAAATGTTTTGGTTGCAGGCATTACACCTTATGCCAATCTTCATCACTATGATCTTCCTCAAGCACTTCAGGATAGGTACCTGGGATGGTTGAGCCCTCAAGCTGTGTAAGTATATCATTACAAGCAATAACATACATACCATATAGTTTCAACATATATGTTGATTAATAATTGCTATGTATACTTTTGGACTATAATTTCCAACATGGAACTTTTGAATTTTTTGTGTTAATCTTTTGTTTCTACCTATGCTGAAATTAATTTGATAAATGATTCAAACTCTATAGGAAGGACTATGCAGATTATGCAGATTTTTGCTTCAAAACATTTGGAGATAGAGTGAAGAACTGGTTTACATTTAATGAACCAAGATGTATGGCTGCACTTGGGTATGACAACGGCATCCATGCCCCCGGAAGATGCTCCAAATCATATGGAAACTGCACTGCTGGAGATTCTGCAACTGAGCCATACACCGTCACTCATCATTTGCTCTTAAGTCATGCAGCTGCAGTTCAGAGATATCGCGAGAAGTATCTAGTAAGCCACCTGTGTTTTTTTGTTTTGTCAAACACTCTGGCCTCAGTTTAATTGTTTCTCACAATGGATTAAAAAGAGAGCTTATATTAACTGGTATATGCATATAATTACAGCAAGAACAGAAGGGAAGGATTGGCATTCTCTTGGACTTTGTCTGGTATGAACCTCTTACAAATTCAACGGCTGACATTGATGCAGCTCAAAGAGCCAGAGATTTTCATGTGGGTTGGTAAGAACCAGACACTTACTCTCTCAAGACACTGAATTCTATCTTTAAACATGAAGAATTCTTTCATATTCTGAAGGTTTTGTAATAATGTTAATTTTTTGAGTAGGTATTTTCATCCCCTTGTATATGGTGAGTATCCGAGAATAATGCAAGAAATCGTTGGAGATAGACTGCCCAAGTTCACAGCTGAAGAGGTTAAGATGGTAAAGGGATCATTTGATTATGTTGGTATCAACCAATATACTACTTATTATATGGAGAATCCACAGAATCAAACCAAACCAACAGAGTTGGGCTACCAACAGGACTGGAATGTTGGATTTGTTTGTAAGATATATTTCTCCTCTTCTTGACAGGAAAAGAGTCTTCATTTGCAACATATATCCTTCTATGTTAATTATATTAACCTCTGTTTTTAAACTTGGACTTCGCAGATGAACGTGATGGAGTGCAAATTGGTCCAAAGGTAATTTTAGTCACGTCATACATTGATCTCTATGTCCAAGTTCAGATCAAGTTTCTATAAGAGATTTTATTGATCTTTTTTATTCAATTATTAATGATAAATGGAGTTTTATATTTTTAATTGAATATCTGCAGGCACATTCTTATTGGCTGTACAATGTACCTTGGGGTCTGTTCAAAGCAGTGATGTACATCAAAGAAAATTATGAAAATCCTGCTATTATTTTGGCTGAAAACGGTATGTATTTTCTAACCTGTTTCACATTTTAAATCTCATACAATCTGGCATATGATCTTTCTGCAGATCATTTGATAGACAAGAATATAAGAGCCTTAAGAGGTCTAAGTTTTTTTTTTTTTGTTTTTTTCCATCCACATATGATTTGCAGGAATGGATGATCCTGGTAATGTGACCCTGCCTATGGGTTTGTTCGACACCACAAGGGTCAATTACTACAAGGGCTATTTGACTGCTCTGAGGAAGGCAGTTGATGATGGAGCAAATGTGATCGGATACTTTGCGTGGTCATTGCTTGACAACTTCGAATGGTTATCAGGCTACACTTCAAGATTTGGCATTGTGTATGTCGATTACACAACCCTCAATAGGTACCCCAAGATGTCTGCCTATTGGTTCAAGGAAGGACTTCGCCAGAGCAAGCATTAGGCGGCCACACTTTCTTCATTATGTTAATAGGTTTTTAGGCATATACTATATATATTCTTAGTTAGGGTTTAGTTAATTATAAAACAATCAGTGTTATGCAGTGAGTAGCTCTAGTCAATGACTTGATTCTTATATATACATACATTCTTAATAGTAACAGTTTTTTTTACTCTGCAATTGCAACCTTGTGCAGTGACGCACTAACTTTAACCAAAAAAAAAATAACTTAACCCATTAATTTGTGGCTGCTGGTCTTTTACAGTTTGCAATATATGTACACATTTGTGAGTGTGAGAGTATAAAGACAAATTGAAAGATGGGAATGGAATATAAATGCATTATATTTATATATACTCACATATAAACGCAATATATATACACTCACATATATAGAATTGGAAACGAGCTTTAATAACATCAAAGGATCGGAAATCGGAATGGAGAGGATAAATCTAAGAAATTTTGCACAACTCACACAACACATAAACAGAGTTTAAAAAAACTCCTTACAGATTCACTGCATCATTATTTCAAAAAACTCCTTACAGATTCACTGCATCATTATTTCAAAAAACTCCTTACAGATTCACTGCATCATTATTTCAAAAAACTCCTTAAAGATTCACTGCATCATTATTTCAAAATACTCCTTCCAGATTCACATTGGTCTATCATTTACAAACAGTACATTTTGATTGAAAGATGCATAGAGTTTGTGTAAAGATTGATTTCAACTTCCTGCAAGTAGTTCATGTAGCTGATGGCAAAATTGTAGTAGACTAGACTTGCTATACTCATCAGAACAAAGCATATCATGGCGCTGGCCGCAAATAAAGGGGTATGTAGTTTGATGCAGTTGGCACTGAATCCCACACTGAGAACGCGCTCGAACATCTCATCCATTTCCTTGTCATTTCGGGGAAATGCCGATCAATCACATCTTTTAAGTTTTCTGTCTTGTTAACCCAATCTAGGCCTTCTTGTGTGTAGGTTCGGGCATTGAAATTGGTTGTGAAGAAACGATCAGCTTCTAGCCTCCTGGACATGATCACCAAATGTAGAAGAATAAGGAACTTGAAAATAGGATACGAAAATCGAATCCATGCATGTCATCAGGCAAGAGAAACAATTGGTTCAATTAGTAATCAATGCATTACCATACCTTGAGGCAATGAGCAGAAAGATAAAGAAAGCGGTCTCACTGATGGCGAAGCCTTTGATCTTTTTCTCTGCATGTAGACCTACTAGAATATCTAACTTCTCAACATCTTCGCCATAAACATCACGGAGTGCTTCAACCACGTTTTCATCATCTGTTAAATCTTCCCACTTACTAATAGGAATCATCAGTAAGTTCCTTCTGAACTCATTGAAGCGCGCGACTCTTCTCTCTCTGTCTCTGTAAACTGATCAACCAGTTCTCTTATAACTAATCCAAAGATGAGAGATTAAGGGAAAATGTTGCAAAAAATTAAAAATTTAAAAAAGGGGTTGAAGATAGTTACTTTCTAAGGCAGCCATATCAACTAGATCTGGTCTATCTTCTCCATTAATATCATGAGCAACAAGGTTCCTCATCCATGATGGGTAGTTCCATAATGTGACAGCTCCACATGCTTGATGACCCATTGACACCAGCATTTTCTCCATTCCAATTTTTGACAGTCTTCTCTCTCCTTCTTTCCCCACCATTTGCTTCATAGACACTCTGTAATCATCATATATGCTAAGGAATTAGACATATACAAGGTCAAAATCTCAGTAGTACATTTTTTGCCATCTTCTGAAAGGGAAAGAATCAGAAGGCAAAGAATGTGCATTTTAGATGAAGACTAACTATTGCTTTAAATGTAAGTACTCCGCTTAATCTCTATATCACCGGTATCACCATCCAGCCACCAATTCTAATGTTAACTCCATTGGTTCTTACCAGACAATGACATCCATCATCTCATTAACCACCACAATGCGTGCCAGTGATTGCTACCTGCACCAATTGCATTGCTTCCTCCACCTCCATGTCATGAACACCGTTTCTTCACTGATATCTCCATCTCCATTGCCACAAATACCACCATTAATGCAACAATGACACCACTGCCCCTACCATCATCACCATTATCATTGCCATCGGTGCCTCTTCTGTTTATGCTTCCTTGCAACTTGTGTCTGTTTTTTGTTTAATTTTATTTTTTATTTTTACTAGAAGGTATGTAGCCTAGCAAATTGCTATTTTTCCTGTATGGTTTAATCATTCACACATGCATCTGCAAATTAAATAGAAGAGAAACCGAGAGGAAGATAATTACTCTTCTTGAATTGGCGGGCACATTTCTTCTGAAGTTGACTTGATGTCCCTTAGGATGAGTTTATCAGGTAGAAGCGTGTGCATTCTGTAAACGCTTACAAACTCTTCAGTCAAGGAATAGGGAATTCCATGATCTCTCGGCCTCTTAAGACCAACCAATCCATTCAATATTGGTCCACATATATGTCCAAATAAATCCTTGAATTTCTTCCCCAGAAAGCCATACCTGCAGCAAACATAATTGATCAATATTTTCTTCGAATAAATTCTAACCAACAGCTATTGCATTTAGTTTGATTATTCCAATTCCAAAATGATTTTCAGCCCTTGTATGCACTTTTAATTCTTTGGCCGAGCATTTGTCTCTCTTTGTTAAGAAATTCTGTTTTCTTCAAGATTTCATGATAGTCTTACCAGTTGATCCTCATTCCCGCCAAAAGAGTATCAGTTTTTAGGAGTTCAACCGTCCAATCAATGGTATGTATTTTAGCAATGACTGCCGACGTCACCAATCTTGCATGTTGATACAGCTTCTCATCCTCAAGATCAGTGTAACGTTCCTAAAAATAAGTAAAAATCCACTAAACCATCAACTAAACAAAGATGCTGTTGTTCTTTTACACAAAAAAACATTGCTTGCACACGAAATAAAAAATAGTAGCATGTGGTTATAAAAATCTGCTAAAACAACAAAATGCTAAAATTTGAACTTTGGCATACTGCAAGCATTGTATCTGAGACACTTTTGAGTGCATAGAGAGAAACTTGATTAATGATTGAAATTTCAAAGCATTTAGTGACTACCAACTGCACATAAGATTGAAAAAGAATCAAGAAAAATTACGAACCTTAAGCATATCGCAAACAGCATTGTGTTCTTTGACAAATAAGGCTTGCAAGAGTGAGAAGCCTGCCCAACAATTCCGGACATCACCAGAGATAGGAATCCCTTCCTCATCATGTTCAAGAAGTCCGTCCCATGAGATCTTTAACTTCCCGTCTTTAAATGTCCTCACCCTTCCCATACCCTCCTCGTTGTTGCCATAGATTACACTCCCATCCCTACTCAAGTCAGATACCAAAAATTAATGATACTTAGAATGAAGAAGGCAGACATGAAGAATCATCGTACGGTTGTGTTTATTATAATGCTTACACAAAATTCATGTTTGTTTCATATGATAAATGTAAAGCAATTTAATTTCTTTTTATTCTTGCTACTATCTATCTTATATATCATTTCTCAAGCAGGTTATATATGGCTAAATCATTATCACAAGTTCACAACACATTTAATAGAGCTAAACTAATTCTTAGAGCAGAAATCTAATATTTGTTACACACTCACCACCATGGGGTCCGTGAATTCAGAAAACCGGACTTCAGATTGGGTGTGCCTATGGGAACTTGTTTGCTCTTGAAGAACTTGAATGACTTCAATGGACACCCATCTGCAACTTCAGCAGGAGCCTTAATCTCCACCTATTAATAGAATCAATAAAGAATCACTTCTCTAGCACTTGATAACACAATATATACATATATAATTATATATCCATCCATATCACTCTATATTTGAGCCAATTGATATTGAAATTTTCAATATTCTTATCGATTTCGTACTTTTCTCTGTACAAAACCATCAAAACGAAATTCAATACCTTGTGTTATGGGTTCTTGGGAATTCCTTTGGGATTTTTCTCAATGTCTGCTAGAACATCTTGATCACACTGTTACGTTTTCGTATATAGTTAGTTTTTAAGGCAAGGTGTGAAGGATTCATCAATTCCATTGTGCTGCATTTTACTTGCAGAAGAGCTACTTATGGTAAAACAACATTTTGGTTAATACCTACCACCCGCTCATTGTCCCGTTATAATCTAAGTCACACAAGTCTTTCTTTTCGCGTGGGCTCTTACTCGAATTCTCATTTTTAGTGATTTAAATTTTGCAACTTTCACGCTCCCACCCTAACTTCCACTTTATATAACTTACGATATAATCTTACTCTCTCGAAAGGAGTACTGAGAGTTCGAACCCCGTAGTGAGTATTTGTGGAAGGTGTACGTGTGAGTATTTTTATCTATAAATAAAAAAGGAACATCTTGACGAATACCTGTTGGGTGTCCTCCATATGATCAATCCAGTCATGAATCATGAATTGTATCCATGAGCATGCGATCATGTTGAATTGCTTTCCATTATCTATGAAATGTTTCCTTTCCAAGAGCTTTGTGGCTACAACTGTTGGATGAGGCTCCAGCAACTACAAAATTAAAAATGTGAATGTAAACATCTGGAAATTTAAGTATAAAAAAAATGGGGATATTAATTCTCAAAATTGCTATATCTAATAAATTAAGATTTAAAGAAAAGTAAATTGAAATAAAATGTTGATCATAATTTTCAAATATATATAATATAGTTAAAATTATAGATATATAAAAATTAGAGTTATAATTCGGTTCGGGTTGGTGACACCCAATTCAATTTCAAATCATAATTTGGGTTTTAATTTTTCAAATAATGCACCCGTGTGTAATTAGAATAAACCTCTGGTAATTTATTGAGAGATACTTGGCGATTCTTACCCCATAAGGTGAAGTAGATGGAGGCATGTTGCGACCGAAAAAAGTTCCTTGACTGCCTATCAAATTATCCATGGGATGATTGCATGAGCCGTCAGCCGTCCGATAAGAGAACTCGTCGGTGTCATATTTCTGGCCGTCGATCCTTCCAACATGCAAGAGATTATACCTTTGGTGCAAGTGTCTTCTAATTCCCAAGTAAGCCAGCCCCAAAAGTACTGGTAGCCTATGCCATACCTCAAACTTATCCACTATGTGTATGATCTACAATCACAAAACATATTTGGGTAGTGACAATTTAAACCATAATTAAGAGAACAAAATCAACTATTTATAAAAAAAAAATACATTTATTCATACAATTATATAACTTGACACATGTAACATACTCAATTATATATTTTTACAAAGAGAGAATTTATTTAACTCCAAAAATAGTCTTTTGCACTCCAGTCTCATGAATTGTCATAAAAAGGAAATGACAAGTATGTAATGGCGTGTGAAGAACTTTTATACATCAAATGCAAATATCATTTTCTTGTATAGGTATGTATATATCAATAATTGTATATGAATATGTAGAATTATAGATCAATTATATATCAATCTATATACCAAAGAAGACATACAATTATACTAATTCATCTTAATTATAATACAAACATAATACACCAATAAAGAAAAAACAAAAAAGGAAAAGTGTTATTGAATTTGAATTAAAATTTATTACAATTATAAGATATATCAACCCCACGCACACATATTATATATATATAGAGAGAGAGAGGGCTAACTTACATAGAACAATATAGTGTCAAGGAGAGACATCTTGGCTACAATAGGCCTTAGTTGAGGATGAACGAAGGACGAAGAAGATGAGAAGAAAGCCATTGGTTTTGTTGAAGCTATTGGTGCTACCAAGAGAGAAGTGAAATACTACTTTAGGAATGATTTTGTGAGTTGGGGGATGTGAATAATTGAGAAGGGAATGAATTTGGTTTTAACTTGGCTCTCTTGCTCCCAAGTACGTCTGTCTCCTCCTTGTATCATTCAATGGCACCATAAGCTGTAGGGCCAAAACCTCGTTGCATAAGCTATATATGTATATATATAGTCATCTTGTTGCATAAGCTGTGTGTGTGTGTGTGTGTGTACGTGTATATATAGTCATGATGATTCACTATCAGTTCATATGATGATGTTGAAAGAATATACAATCCAAAAGAAAAACGACATTTTCACTTGTCAAAACAACACTGTATGGGTGGGGACTGTGTGCATGTGAAAACTTTTACCAGAAGAGATGAGAAAAGGCCAAGCCTTTAGTAGTACTCCTATGTCATTTTACACAAATGAATAATTATACAAATAATAGAGTCCTATTTATATAGGAAAGGATTGGTGTGGTAGAATATTACATTAGGATCGTATTTTAATTAACATAATAAACCATATTAAGGATAAATCTAATAGATTTTTTTAGTACGTACACGCAAGAAATTTATAAGGAGTAGCTTGCCTAGCTCTAGAGGAAGAGGAATTTGATTCATGGGAGAAGGTTGGTGAGAGTTATACAAGGTAATTAAAGTTAAAGAAAGAATATTGCATCATAATAAACCAGACTACAATAATAAATATAATAGATTTTGTAATACAATAAGAAATGAATGGTGAGTAGCTGTAAAGAAATTTGATTAACAATCATGTTAGGGGTTGCGCAATTCTAATGTGCGCCAATAAGGCCTATCATTTATGGGAATCGATTTGATTAATTAACAACCATGTTAGGCGTTAATATCTATCATTTATGACACATCTTGAGTGTCACAACAAAAATAATTTCATTTTATTAATAATCTTATTATTGGGAGAAGGTTGGTGAAATCTATACAAGGTAATTAAAATTGATGACAATTATATAGGATAAGCAAATCATAATAAACAATATGAAAATAAATCTAATAGATTTTTTTTTTTAGGGCATTTGTGATATGAAATGAATGATGAATAGCTGCCTAGCTGGTAAGAAAATGGAATTTGATTTAGGTTGACACAAACACATTTTCTTAACACTCCATTATCTCTTCCCAACTGATAAAGAAAATCTGAACTTATGGCATACGACCCATACCAAAGTGGTTATTAACTAATTTCAAAATTCCATATAATTTTAAATGTTTCATTACTTTTTCTGACCTTGAAAATAATTCCTCAACAACACTTGACTGACGTGTCTTTGCATCTTCAGTTGACCCACAGAAGTTGGTGATATACATGACTTGCCGCCCTTGTGGGTATATATATATATATATATATTGAGAGAGATATAGTATATACATACATGCACAGACACATATGTTGTTACGTTGATAAATTGATAGTAATAACTTTAGAGAGTGACGGTTGGGTGTTGAATCAACCATATCCACTTGAAATATGGAGATTTTTTATTATTATTATTTTTGCATTGACCTTTTGCACAAAGTGTCTGGTTGGGGACCAAAGAAACCAAAATTGTGGTTTGGTATTTTAAAATGTCATTTCACACGTCATCATACAAATTCCAGACTCTTCCGCTAGTAGATCAAATGTATATATCAATTTATAATGGTCTTAAAACGAGTAACATCAACTTTAATCATCCCAAATACCATTTTGATGCGTATCAAAACCAAGTAGTTTAAAATTTTAAATTATTAACTATTTTTATAAGTAAATTTATTTTTAAAAATAAATTTACCTTCAATTGCATCTTAATAAAGAGGATGATTTAATAATAAATTAACAATGGATAAAAAGTCACTTGTTTGGAAAAATCTGATTTCAGAAACACACACCGTAGTAATGTGGGGAGCAGCTGCACTTTGTACCTTCAATTAATGTGAATTGTGGTATGATGTCAATTTCAGTTCCAAAAAAAAAAAAAAAAAAATTCCAAATGCTGCAGAATATATATATATATATATTGGGCGCTTAAAATTTTATGACCCATTGTTCTGACTCAATCAATAACGGATTGAAAAATGATAAATCTTCTAACTTCAATTGTCGACTACTTCTCCAAATATAACGTGATTGGAAATGAGTCGAAGAGAAAAAGATGTTTACGATAATTTTTTTAAGAGCTCCAACGGGATCCAACCACATTATAATCGGAGGAAGAATCGGCAATTAAAGTCGGAAGACATTATTTCTCTAACGGATTTCAAAGTTCTCGTAGAGATCTCAAACACTTCATGTTTTTTTAACGGTATATTAGCAATTATTAAATTTAGACTCAACTGAGTTCGTTAAACTTAAAATGATGAACATTCTCTCAACTAAAATGTAAAATTATTATTTAAAAATAAGATATGACTTATTGTTGTTGAGTCATACTTTTTCATCTACCAAAATAAAAGATTAAAAATTTAAGTACTCAAAAAAAATTTGGTTACACAGTTGTTGTAAAATAGGGTATGTTTCTCTGTTCTTGGTATCCATGTAATCTTGCCCTAGAACCATTTTCATTTGGCACTCGTTGAAACTAATAGTATGAACTCAACTTGCGATAATAAGATTTCTTATTATTATTAATTGTGAAGAACTAATTATAAAGTAGACCATGCAATAGAAAAATATATCCTCATGGCCAGGATTAAATATTATTTTATTTTATTTTTATAAATTTATCCTGAAAAATAATACATATATATTCACTTCATCCGGAGACTTCACTCATCCGAGGCAATCAATTTCAATTTTAAAATGTTTTCTTGCTAGTTGCTTCACAAATCACATTCAACATTATAAAGTTGTTGTTCTTGCACAATTTTTTAATATTTTTTTTTTTGGTAGATATAAATTTTAAAATTTAAAATTATCTATACTTTCAAATTTATCAACTTTACGATAATTTTTTTCAATTTTTTATTTATGTGTCAATTAGTAATTGACCAAACCAATAGTTCCGAGATCCTAATACATAATAGCAACCATAACTGTAGTTGTTTAATTAGGAATTTGGCTCTAAAATATGGAACAAAATCCTCTCCTGTGCTATAGGAGAGCCGGTCTCTTCCAATGAGTTAAAATAGTAAATGTTAAAAATTAAAAAAATAAGACTTTTGCATACAGGTACATACGGACCAAATCAAAATGAGATCAACTTCTAACTCTCTTTTTCTCTCTCTACAATTTATCTTTACACAAACTTTAAAGAAGAGTGATTATAGCTAGAGTGTACTAATCAATCTAAAGCAAAATCAGAGCTCTTCCGAGCTTCATGATTTACACAACACAAGTTTACTGACAGTAAATAGTGATGCAGCTTACAACATCAATAAATTTGAGATACTTTGGTATATATGTTAGGAAAATGTTACGATGTAGGTTAGAAAAATATTGGGATAGTAAATATGTTCCAACAGGTGAGGATATTTTGGGATGTACATTAGGAATTAATGTTGGGATGCTGATAAGGAGAAAGTTAGGATATACGTACATTAGGAAAATGTTGTGATGCAAAGCTAACGTCCCAACATTTTCCTAACATATATTTAGACTAGTCAACGGATCGGATTCGGACTCGATCATGGTCGATCCAATCTGAATCCGATAAGCAAACTGAGTGATTCGATCCGATCCGATAATCCGACGGATTCGTCTTTAGTCGATCCATGTCCAATACTCATTTTATCGGATGTCCTATCGATTAGAAACTTTACTTTTTGCATTTATATAAACACAAATCACACAAAATTGATTTACATTAAAATAAATTAGATACCAAATCTAGAATAAATGATTTTTGCTACTAAAAATATGATTCATAAATGGATTCAAAATTCGGGTAGAAAAGATAGACTGAAATGGGTTCTGTAACAAAGAATCAGAATCTCCATAAACGTGAAAAAGAGAGAGATAAAAGGAGAAAATAAGAAAATTCTGAAACAACTTTTACTTTTGAAAGATGAAAAATTAGGGTTTGTAATAGAGAAAATAAAATAAAAAATAGACTTACACATTCATTTCCCATTCCCCATTCCCCATTGTGCTTGTAATAGAAGGAGAAGAAAAGAATCAGAACTTCCTCCTTTCCCATCGTGCGTCAATAGATGATGACTCTTCTTCACCTTCGTTTCTATTTGGAACTAGAAGCACGTTATAGACTTACAGTGTGCAGTCTATGCAGTTCTCACGTCTTCAATGGTTTGATATTAGGGGAGTGATCCTATGTGGATGAGGACACGTAGTAGTATTGTAAATATAACATTTTAATTAAGGTTTTTCATTACATAATTTACATTTACACAAATCTAATATTTGAAATATATATATATATATATATATATAATAATATAAAATGTAAATATAATTATATATTATTTTAGTTGGATTGGATTATTAACAGATTGGATCAACCCAGATCCATATTCGATTTGTTAAGTTAACGGATTAACAGATTCGGATCATTATCAGGTTATCGGATTTTTTGCTCAATCCATATCCGACTAATTGGACTGGATTCGGATCGAGATCGTATCCATTGACAGGTTTACATATATCCCAAACAAGAGAAATAAATGAATAGTAGACCGTATTCCAGTTGGTGAGATACTTTGGGATGTAGGTTAAGAAAATGTTGGGATGTACGTTAGAAAATGTTGGGATGTTGGTACAGAGATACTTTGGGATGCACATTAAGAAAATGTTGGGATTTACGTTAGGAAAATATTGGGATGTTGATACAGAGAAAGTTGGGATATACGTTAGGAAAATGTTGTGATGCAAGGCTCTCAACTTTTTCCTAACATGTATCCCAAACAACAAAAAGAGATGAATAGTGAATATTAATACAAATTGATATATATACATTAATACTCATTTATATATATATATATATATATATATATATATATATATATATATGCGTGTGTGTGTAAAAAGGTTTTGTCATGTTCGATAAAATTTTGTTACTAAAAATTTGTCTTTTTAGTTACCAGTGACGTGTCACAAGGAGGAACACATGTTCCTCATCGGATGGAACCGGCTCTCCTATAGCACATGAGTGGATTTTGTCCCCTAAAATATACTTATATTTTTTTGTATATATGTATTTATATATCAAAATCCTACTTTTCAATTTTATATGTATTATTATTTTATGGAATGTAGTTGTTGTGGGCACCACCACTTAAGAGGTACACTTAATTGGACCAGGCTAGCCTAAGGCAGTAAGGAGAATCCAATTTGAGCTAGTAGCGCCTAATATTCAACTAGTTGGTTGAGTTTCATTTAATTTGGGCTGCTTTTGGGCTAATCCAATTCTAGCTTTGTTGGAACAGGTCCAAACGAAGCGTCCTCCATTAACATCTTGTTTGTGTGTATATGTTTGTGTGTATTTTACCGCCAAACTGCAGCATTTCATCTATTATATAAACCCTAACATGCTTTTAAAACTTTAAATACTGAGAACTTCGATTCTATTATCTGTTGATTGATTGATTTTTAAGAAATCAATGGCTTCGAACACAGGAGACGACAAAGACTTCTCTGGAAGTGACGCTGGCGACGGCTTCGAAGAGGACATGGAAGCCCTAAGGAAGGCGTGCATTCTCAGCGGGACCAACCCTGATGACATTCCGTGCCCCTCAGCCACGGCCACCACCGTTCCAGGTGGCGCCTTCTCTGACTCTGACGACGATGACGACCTCAAATTGGTCCGTAGAATACAGGAGCGGTTCTCGATTCCCATCGACGATGATGCTTCACTCAATATGAAGCCCCTGTGTTCGCTTCCGCCGGTTACCTGGGACGATGATGATGACGATTTCGAGATTCTACGGGCAATCAAGAAGCGGTTCGGTCGGTATGATAATGGTAAGTATATCGATTTGAAATCCCTCTCTATTTATTTAGTTGAAATTGAAGTTGTTGTGCAATTTATTATTAGTTTCATGGTTGTTTTTTTTTTGGCAAGCAATTGAGTGATTTTGGACTTTTTTTTGGATTTGAACTGTTAGAAAGATGAATATTTTGTATAACGATTTAGTCGCATAAAAATTTTGGGGATTTAGGGGGAAAGACTGTTGTAGTGCACATAGTGGTATCTCACTGATGACTCAGGTCCCTCCGGGAGGAGGCCTTCTTTGCCCTCCAACTAAGCTGTGCAGAAAGGCCAAAGCCAATCCCAGGGGAAATTTGTTTAGTCAAAAATTAATATTTGTGAACAATGTGGATATCATGTGAAAATGAGCGAGAAACTTTATCTCTTTGATGCAGCCATCTGACTTGGAGTACTTAGGAATCCTAAGGATTAGAACATTAGACAATAGTGTTAGATAGTTGGTTCAGATACATGCCAGACTAATTGACTACGGTGGCAGTGATTTTAGTTTATGCGATTGGTGAGAAAGCTTAGAGAGTAGAAGCATGCTTTCTCTTTCCGTTGTCTAAAGAAAACTATATGGTGGGATCTCAAAAGAGAATAATTAAAGATGATGTTGTAACCAGATGGAGAGAGAATAAAAATAAGACAATTGAAATTTTTATCATGATACTCTTAGGCACTGGTTGCATCGATTGAGGTTTGATATTTTTCACTCTGTAGGATTATTCTATTGGGCATAATTTGGAAAAGATTTAATGGTCCCTGATTATTGGCAGTGTTGTTTATTTGATGATATCATTTTACAGGTATTCACGATGTTTGTGGAAAATGGCATAGAATCAAGTTAATTTTAGCAGATATAGTAGTATTTATTGCCAAAGATGCCCATGAGCAACTTTTTTTTCCTTGCATTTGAAAGTGGAGGAGACTAAGTGGAGGTTATCCTCGATGAAATGTAAAAATAATAGCATGTTTCTTGTAGTGTGATGAATGCCTATCAGTTGAGTTAATGAAAGGATTTTAAATACCTTATAAGAGTGGCGATCCTTTATGGTAAAGTATTATGCAAAAAAGAAACATGTTTTTGTAATATCATAACCATCCATGAGCATGTCAGTTGGACCATTACAAAAGTTGGAATGACAAAGTTATTGAAGAATTGATTTATTAAAACTGTTGCATTAGTGATCAGACCTTTTGGTTGAAGACTCTATTACGAGGGAAGACTGAAAGGAATGTGTTGAAAATATAGTCGAAGTGTTATTGAAGGATACATGGATACCGCTCTAGTTAGAATCTAGAGAGGAACGGTGAACGAGGGTCTCTAGTTAGTATAACTAGCCCTGCTGTTGTGATGGGAGTGTCTGAGTTGACTCGTAAGATGTTACTTGGACAGCTGTTGATAGGTGTTCTTTGTGCAGATTTTCCTCTTTTATATATGGTTTTTCTCAAGTTGCAAATTAAAAGGATCGAATTCTTTGAGTGGCCACTAGATTCATTGTTCCTTGTTATTTGATATTTGGTACTAAATCTGCAAAGAAAATTTATCATTTATTTATTAAATGAGAATACTGATGGTAGTGGATTTTATTTGCTTTGACATTCTTGCATTGAACTAAACAGTAGAAATGAAAACTTAACCCTTAGATTGTGTGGGATTATTAGTTAAACAAAACTTTTGGATGTGCTGGTGATCCAAGTTTGATGTGAATATGGTAGAGTTTTGGTGGTTCTCTTCTGCTTACATGTAAGCTGGGGTAATAGGTTTTTCTGGCTACACCAAATAAAGTTGGCATGCTAGTTGGTTGTATTAATTAGAATCTGCATCTTTTTTACTGTTGCCCTCACATGCCTGTTGCAGCTTCTTGTTGTTCCCGATATAATAGATTGTTCATTTTTCTGTTTATGAGTTTTTCACTGATCCCCTTTTCTGATAATGTTAGAATTTTCTTGTACCTATTTTTTTTTCAATATCTAATACAATAACGGCAGTTATGTCGCCATTCTTCCCTTCATAATTTCATGCTTAAAACTATATCCATAAGTTCTTATGCCATTGATGTACCTCATAATTGCAGCTTGAATGTTACTGGACTATTAAACTTACATACATGAGATCCTTTGCCTAAATTTGGTCTGTTTTTGTTTTGTTCTCTCCTTTTCTTTTTCTTGGGAGAAGGGGGGGAGGGGGGGGGATGGTTAAGTTCTTTTGCTTGTATGTTTGTTTCAAGCCCTTGTTGGTGAGTGACAGTTTCATAGTATGTGTCCTTCTGAGTCATATGTAAATGCAAATAGAGATTCATTCTTGAGCTTCAGACCAAATTGGCTTTCATTTTACTTTACAGTTGCATCTGCATCTTTTGAGATTTTTAATCCTTCCTCTTTTGATCATGCCCCTGAAAATTTTTAAATATATATATTTTTTCATATTCTAATGCAGGCAGTCAGAAACACGGCACAGAGAGTTACTTACATAAACCTGAGCAGGTTCATACCACCAACATATCCTCGGAGAGGTACCCTACTGATAATTTGTCAGCAGACAGAAGTAATGTTTTTGAAGGATGTCCAGATTGTGTGGATCCTTGTACCATCACCCAGAATTTGGAATCATTGAGTAAGAATATTCCTGGGACCCAGCTTTCTGGTTTAATTGACTGGCATGAATTAGGTGGTCATGATTTAGCTACCTTGCCTTCTAGAGATTCTAGGTTCCCGAAATCTGCACTGGTGTTCATTGATGCCATTAAGAAGAACAGGTCCTGTCAGAAATTTCTTAGAAGTAAGCTGATTCAGATAGAAGCAAGGATTGAGGAGAACCAAAAACTGAAGGACCGTGTTAAAATCCTCAAAGACTTTCAGTTTGCTTGCAGAAGAAAAACTGGGCGAGCATTGTCCCAGAAGAAGGATGCTCGTGTGCAATTAATTTCAGTGCCAAAGCAAAGAGCAAATGCAAAGGTTATTCTCTCATTCATTCTTTATTCTTTTTATATTGTTTTTTATATAAATTTTCACTGTGATTTGTTTGCACTTTCAACTAGATTTGAATACCATATTTACTAAATCAGTTAGTGATTCTGTTTTCTAGTAAAAAGAATCTAATCGTAATATGGTCACCAGGGAATTCTATGAAATTGATAGTCGGAAGTGAGGTCCAACCCAGGGTTACCACGAAACACCAATACTTGGTGATATAAATTCAGATGTTAGGACTTACAATTGGTTTTGTCCCATCTATATTGTAATATTTGTTGATTTATCATGATTTTCTTTTATATTTGGGTAAAGTCCCAAAAAAAAAAAAAAAAAAAAAAAAAAAAAAAAACCTTGCTATATATAGAATGTGCAAATACACCTCTGGTGTTAAAAAAAAAAAAAAAAAAAAAACCCTACATTTTTCAAATTGAGCAAATAAGGACAATTCTTCAATTTGAAGACTGAAATACCCAAAATGCTCTTATGACAAAATAAAAATAAAAAACACTTATTTCAAAATTTTGGAATTTTGGTTTTATAAAAAAATATTTGGTCAAAATTGTTGACCATGGGGCAATTTGCTACAAATTCTCAAAATACAGGGGTTTATATGTACTTCTTAAAAAGTGGGGTTGTTTCTTGCACATTCTGTATATAGCAGGGGTGTGTTTTGCACTTTACCCTTTACATTTTTATTGATATTATATGGCAAAACTCTAAGAATTAAAAATTTTGTTTTACGTTACTCATTCATGATCATAGCTGGGAGGTAGCTTCTATTTCCTAGGTTGTTCCGATTGAAATTTTAAGTACTCTTGCATTTGGAATCATATCAGTGAAGCCATATCCATTTAAAAGAAGTGGTCTTCAAAATCAATTAGTAAGCACTAAGCAATATGTATTCTATTACTTTCAGAATTAGTGGATATTTAACAGTCTTATACAATACATTATGCCGGAAATGCTAATAGATCGTGACTGTTGATTACTTGTTTTAAAGTTAACAAGTAAAAAATTAAGCTTGCCCTATCTCTTGAAGCCTTCAACCAGAACGAAAATCAAAATTAATCTTGACGGCAGTGTTTAGGCAGTGTTTAGGCAATCGTTGTCGACTTGGTGCTGGGGTATTCTGAAGGATCGCAATGGAGAACTTCTTCTAGCTTCCTCTGTGCCTTCAGGTTCAGGATATGCCATCGAGGATTAAATTTTGGCTCTTGCGGAAGGTCTTCAGAAAGCACAATTCCTTGTACATCATCATTGCCTAGTGAAGTCAGATTTTTTTAATGTTTTTGTACTGGGTTGTCTAAAAGAATCCTTTGATCATTTTTACAATCAAACTTACCAAGTCTGCCAGTTAGAGATGTTTGTGCTTCATATACTGCTTCCGTTGGCATGCGTTACAACTTTCTCATGCGGGAATTGGCACCTTCATAGCTCTATCTTAATGTCCATTGCTTTTAGCTGCATTTTTGTGTTTTATTTTCTGCACTAAGCTGAAATGCATTACTGGGTGGGGGAACTTTTTTTTTTTGTTTTTTTGAATCATTGTGTTTTTGTTTATTTGATAAAAAATTTGGAAAATGTTTGATTTTTGTTTTTGGGCTCACTTGGGACCTTGATAATAAAAAAATTTGTTTCAGTAGCGGCATATTCAGTGTTCCTTTTTATGTTAGTATTCTACTGGTAAGTTCTTTATGTAATCCTTTATATTTTAGGATTTAAGGAGCATTTTAAGTGATTTCTATATTTTCCGGACGAGAGCTGCAGCTGGACAAAGTGTTAATGTGGTTGGTGACGAAGAATTTGGAATGCATAGATTGTGGCCTTTTCTCTCTTATGTGATTGTTTTGCATAAGAGAAATTGAATGACTGACCAAGAGACATACTTTCCTCCTCTTAGTTGAATAAGATATTTTTTGCATACTCAATTTTTTATATTATAGAATCATATTCCATATTAACAGATCCTTTTGTCGAGTAGTCATTATTCTTCTTGTCCTAATTGTATGTGGCTGAGTATATGAATTCTTATGCTCTTTCTATCACAATCTATATCTTTGTCCTATTTTATTCCTTAAGACCTTTCTTATAGTTTATTACATTTTAGGTTTGGTCTACCTCTTCTGATTTACCTTTTATTTGAACTAATCTTCCTTTTTCTTATTAGTGCTTCTACTGATCTTTTAGTCAACCTAATATATTTCCATACCACTTAAGACTACTTTTCTTAAGTATCACTATTAGATGTCACCCTTAATTTTTATCCTAACGTCAAGTGGCGGCACCTCGTGAGCCCCTATAATCCCAAGGAAGTCTCAGGAATGGCACCGCACCCATAAGCTCCCAACCCAGCCCCCTACCCCGAATGGAGCATATTCAAGTTCCAGAGGTTAAGCTCGTGGAAGGGGTGAACGGGCATACTATTTGTATCTCGTCTGATTATTCCAATGATCTATTTCATCACTCTCATTTTTGTGACATGGATGCATTGTTCTTGTATTTTTTTAATGCTAAATATTTTGCTTACTGTAAGATAGATGGCCTAGTAGCCGAATGACGGTTCCTTATGAGACATTCGATACAATACAAGTTTTAGCAAGTTGTTCCTTTGAACTTAAAATATAGCTCACCACCTCACCACCTCCAACTATAAAAAAACATTTTCAATAGTTGAGAGGGGGGGGGGGAGGAGGCGTGGTGTGGGGGGCGCTAATTGCATTCCAGGGGGCAACTTGCATGACTTATGTAGTACAGGTGGGCTTTTTGCATCAACTCACAAAAGAATCTATACTTTGGGAAATATGGATTTTTTATGTTGCTATTTTTTTAGAGTTGTATACCCCATGTGTCATCACCAATGGGGGTATTTGTTCCTTAAACCTAAAATTTATAATTCTCAGTACAAAAGACCATTCTGCAGCACTGTTCTGCATCAATACTTTTTGCATCAGTGTTCTTCTACTGATCCTACATTATGCACTCGGAAGATGATGTCTGTAATTCTGCCACCCACTTGCCACCTGTAGGTTACTTAATTATTAAGTACTTATTAATTTCCTTGAGTTCCTTAGCTCTCTAGTATTTATCTTCTTAAGAACCTCCTCCACTGGGTTATATATAGGGTATGCAACTTTTCATTCAAAGCAATAGATTGAATAAAGATTTTGTAGCCTATTGTGTTTTGTAGTAAGATACTGTACCTTAGTACTAGATTAGTTAGATGCTGATGATGATGTTGAATATAATTGGCCTTTTTTTTTTTATAACAATTACTGTATAATTGCCATAGATAATATGACTTGCCTAACTTTTGAGTGATGATTATATGGGTCTAACCCTGCATGTGGGGTTGTTTTGAATTTGGAAGGTTTAGAAGTAAAAACTGCTGAGCTTTTAAACTATCCAGTTGTAATGTGACTCTTCTGGTCAACAGTCTTAACTTTCGTAATGTATCTTATTTTGTTTGGGCAATTTGTAACAGATTCTGGTCTCCCTTTTCTTCGATCACATTTTTGGAACATACCTTTAGACTCACAGGAATATTGGTTTTGGTGGTTTGATAACCTTCATACTCTGATAATCAACGATATTATCTTGATGTTTGATGAGAGTCTTCGGTTTTTGCAGGTTAATGAGAAAAAGGTTCCTGCTATATATTATGGCCCTGCGGAGAATTCTCATGTTTCTAGTTATAGAATGGCATTGACAAAATTTCCAGTCTCATTCAGTCGGGAAAAGTGGACAAATAAAGAAAAGGAAGATCTTGCAAAGGGAATAAAACAACAATTTCAAGAAGCGTTGCTTCAGAAATCAGTTGATCAATTCAGGTATTCTCATATTCCGGTGTGATATAATTTCTTACTTCAGGGTTTGGAGCAGTCACAATGCATACTCATTATGTTTTAATTATGCACCTCTTTCATTAAAATTAACGGAACTTTATAATTTTCTTTTTCCTTTTAAATGAATTATCAATACTCCCACACCGAATTATCAACCAGCCTATTAATTTAAAGGGATATTTGTTTGCTGGCTTACAGTGTTGCTGTATTAATTTTCAAAGTTCAGTAAGAATAGAAGGTACAATATGAATGGATGACCGATTCGAATTCTTCTATACCTTCAGAGCTAGGATTCCTTTTTTAATAAAAGACAACATTTCCTTAAAGAGTTTGTTAGTAAGATTCAGAATGGTCCTATAAAAAATAAAAAAATAAAAAGTAAATGGACAAATAAAAGCCTAATTTGATAAAATTGTTTCAATTTCAAGGTGGGAGCTGTTAGGGAGCTTGATGGGTTTGAAAATTTATGTTTTTAAGGCTCTTAATACATTTTGATGTCATCAGCTTTAGGCTAGGTATGTTCTGAATTATGTTATCTGGGGTATTTTGGTATGTTGGTTTTGCATTGTAGAGTATCGTAAGCATGGCAGTTTCTTGTTTGAGTGCTTTTTGCTTTGGATTAAATCTTATAGGTTTAGTGAGCTTAAATAAAGATTGAAGTCTTCGTCTAAGTATCTTACTTACCCACCAAGTTTATATGGCTTCAGACCTAGAATCCATTTTATGTAGTGATGTGTTTTTGTTTTGAAGTAGTGAAGACATTTTACCTTTTGTTTAAAGTGCACGATGCGTCTTCTCTAGCATGATTGCCTAAGAATCTAGGCGTGATTGACTAGACTTCTCTCTTCTGTTATTTTCATCTTTCTTCTTCTTTAACCTCCAAGTTCCAGAAAGAATTAAGTCGTTCATCAGGTTTTGGGTGTAACAGTGATCCGATCTTACTTTAGTTGAACTTCTCAACCGTTTCACCTGTTCTCTTGCTTCTCTGTTATCTTTCACCACTAGCCTTTTTTCGTTTTAACACTGAGAAACTCTTCTGCACATTCATCATGTTATAAGGCTATGGATGTAAGACAAAGGTTCTGGACGTGGTAAAAACAAAAATAGAGCCTAACATTAGAAGTCATTAAATAATAGACCAAATTGAAAGTTTTGTCTTAAAAGAGTTTTATATTCTGAACCTTTAAAGTGGGTCTATAACGCTGCCATGAGGCAGCCAAATGCACAACAACTAGAAACATCTCTACCAGGTAACTACAGTGTTTTTGTTTATACTGATAAAAGGATGTTTGGTGTAAATTTAAGTAACAAAATTTGGCAGCCACGAAACACCCGTCAAGAAGCATTTGTTGATTATTGGATCTCCTTAATAAATCGGATATGTGCATGTGCAGGGTGGGTGGGAGTTATGACAAAGGAAATGGAATGACTTTGAGTTGCTGGATTTGCTCAAACTTAGGAAATCAATAAGGGGTAAGGTTTCATTTTTTTATTTAAAAAATAATAAATAAATAAATTTTAGGCAAGCTTTTACTGAAAACATCAACTTAAAATTCAATAATCTATAAAAATAAAACAAAAATCACTTAAATTAATCAAATCCCATAATTTATTTGAGTGTGTTGAAAAAATTTATGTATTGGTGAATTTTAGATCCTATATGCGAGGTAAAAAAAAAAACACGATCGCGATACCCAGTTCCGTTATGTTATGGCTGATTTGTCCCCGAGTCCATTACTGTGTTTGCATCCGTGTCTGTATCAGCGTCAACATATGCAAACCATGGTGTGTCTTCTGCACACGTGTACTTTTTGTGGATATTTTAGTCACCATCGAAAATAAAGCAAACTAACTTTGGCTACTTTATGTCTAGTGTCTTTTTTGTCTAATTCGTCTGTTGTGTTTGGAGGTTTTAATAGAAGTTAATGGGTTGTACTTCTACTTTTATGATTCTTAGTTCTTTGCCTTTATTCTTTCATTTTTTTATGGAACACCTTTAAATTTTCATTTTTGCAATTAGATTATGTAGATAAGTGTTGATCAAAATCTAAAATAAAAAAGGAAAAAGTATTGATTTAGTGGAGTCCTATGATGATTGATAAGCTATTTATATATATATTCCTTAAGTGAAGCTCATGTTGTGACTGCCTATTGGTGACTGTTATGTAGCTCATGGGAGTTTAGCCTTTATGGCTGCATCTTAAAGTGTGTATCTGACATTTATTTGGAATATTAATTTCTTTAAATATTTTTATTTCTTAAGCATATTTTCACTTGTTTACATGACAGTGGTGTTGGGAATTCTTCAGGAGTTGCAAATGATTTTGACAGCATTATTGAATCTATCAGGGATCATGATATCACCCATGATAATATTAGATTATTTCTGCCCAAGGTTAACTGGGATCAATTGGCTTCCATGTACATTCCAAGTCGCTCTGGAGCAGAATGTCAAACAAGGTAACTTGATCTTCTCTCCGCAAAAATGAAAAACCTAATCTATAAAGCTCTATTTTCACAGTATTTATGTATATTCTTTGGTGGTTTCTAAGTTACAAAATTAAGATAAACGGATTGTCCTTTTATCTTCTAAAAATGCTCATATGAATAGAAAGAGTATTGTGAGGCCTCCATTGATTCTTATAGTCAAATGCTCATATGAATAGAAAGAGTATTGTGAGGCCTCCATTGATTCTTACAGTCAAATGCTCATATCAATAGAAAGAGTATTGTGAGACCTCTATTGATTCTTATAGTCTTGCTATCTTGCTTATGAATCACTTACCAGACTGGGACTTAAATTTTTGAAGGAGCTTTAGACTGATCAAATCAATTTAAGAGCCTTGAGCAATTTGAAGAATTTTTTACACAAGAATTAGCCTGTGGATTTTAAAAACCTGAGTCTAGAACGATATAAAGACTAGAAAAGGAAATTTTTGCTCAAAAGTCAAAACATCAACTACAGATGTCAATTCTTGGATTAATGAGTTTTCCAGTGGAAGGTGAGTTTCACGTCAATCTGTGGAAAATGAGCATTGATAAATATGCAAATTATCATCTTAATTCATGGATCACTACACCATCCATATAAGAAGTGCTTTTCAACCACATTATCTTTATAAAACACCATTTTCCAGCTTGGGTCTCAGAATGGAAGGACAGAAGGCAAGAATTTAGATGATTTCTGTTGAGATCACTGAGAATCTTTGATAATAGAATTGGCATCTGAATCTTGTGAATGGAGAATATAATAACAGTTGCAGAAAGGGTATATTATCACAATCATTTACCAACCCATGCCTGACCCTTTGTCAACATATTTCTACTTTCAGCCGACCCTGAGATTTAGCGGAGGGCACTATCTAATTCAGTGTACCAACACCACCTTTGGACAGCTGGAAAAGGCCTCACAGTACTCTTTTTTTCTACCAGTCTTTACCTGGGGCTTGGGAGTTAAAAGACCCAAAGCCACCAAGACAAAGGTAGACCGTTTAAATTTCCTTTTTTCTTCCTCCTCTACCCGGCTACATGAAATTATTTTGTATTTTTTTTTTCTTTATTTAACATTTTCAACAGTGACATCTAAACAGATTTGGATTTTCACCAGCTAAGTTGAATGTGAATATCCTACTTCATAGGGATAATTAGTTCTTTCTTCAATGAGATCAGCCGTAGGTCAATCTTTATGATCAGATCTTAGCATTCAGTCTTCTCAAACTTAGTCCCAAAGGGTAAGTATAATTATTTCAGTGGCTAATTATTAGTATTGTATTTTAGGTCTTATCTTAAGAATACAAAAATACAACAACGCTATTGATGTTAATTATATTTCATATGCATTCTGAAACTGATATCAACAATGAAAAATCTCTAGCCAGTGATGGAAAAGAGATGTTCCTAATACTCTCCTTGCAATCGAAAACGGACAACCATGTTGTCTGGATGCGACAAACGGGAGATACAAATTCTACTCCCCCCCATCATGAAGCTTTTATTAATTATTTGAAGGAACCTTGATTTAGCAATCTATTCAACAGATCTGCTACCAAAGGGTGTGTGTGTGTTGAGAGAGGGAGAGGGGAGAAGGAGAAGATACGCAGTTAAGCTCATAGGCTTTGTTCGAATTCATGAGAGAGAGAGTAAGTGAGAACAAATGTGTGTATATTGTATATGTATTAACCCTAAGCGAACAAAGGCTTTTATAAAGGAAAAGAGTAATAACCTAATTACACAATGTTACCTAATTACACAATGATCCTAACAACTATGGGTAATTACATAATCACCCAACATATATATATATATATATATATATATATATATATATACATAAACATTCTAACACTCCCCCTCAAGCTGGAGAATATATATCAAATAATCCCAGCTTGGAACAGATAGTCCTTAACCGGTTATGACCCAATGCTTTGGTAAACATATCAGCTAGTTGATCTTCAGACTTCACAAATGGAGTAGAGATGCTCCCACTTAATATTTTTTCTCGAATGAAGTGACAATCAACCTCAATATGTTTGGTCCTCTCATGAAACACAGGATTTGATGTAATGTGAACAGCTGCTTGATTATCACAGAACAATGGAGTAGGAGCTTCAACTATCAACCCAAGTTCTTTTAGAAAATGTTGTATCCGTGTCAACTCACTAGTGGTATGGGCCTGTACTCAGCTTCAGCACTAGATCGAGCTACCACCGTTTGTTTTTTACTTCTTCATGTAACAAGATTTCCTCCTACAAATGTGCAGTAGCCTGTAGTAGATCTCCTATCTGAAGGAGAACAAGCCCAGTTAACATCTGTAAAACCTTCCACCTTGAGATGACCATTTGATTTGTATAGTAACCCAAAACCTGGAGCTTGCTTGAGATATCGGATAATCCGAAGAACAACAATCCAATGTGGCATTCTAGGAGCTCCCATGAACTGACTTACAACACTAACTGCATATGAAATATTAGGTCCAGTGATAGTGAGATAAATTGATTTCCCAACAAGGCGACGAAATCTGTCTGGGTCATTAAATAGATCACCTTCATCAGACACAAGTTTTGTATTTGAATCGATAGGAGCATCAACCGGACGACCACCTAACATACCCGTTTCTTCTAGCAAGTGAACACATATTTTCGTTGAGATAAACTTATACCTTCCTTGGATCTAGCAACTTTAATACCCAAGAAGTACCTAAGTTTTCCCAAGTCTATAGTGTGGAATCGATTTTGCAGAAACAACTTCAACTTAGCAATGCCTTCAGAATCATCACCTATGATCACAGTATCATCTACATTCACCACAAGAAAAATGAGGCTAGCTTTAGTGCGCAGGTGAAATACCGAATGATTGGTCTAGCATCTGTTAAGACCAAATTCTAATGCCGCCTCATAAAATTTTTCAAACCAAGCCCGTGGAGATTGTTTCAATCCATACAGGGCATTTTTAAGTCGACAAACAGTGTGACGATACTCCCCCTGAGCAACAAACCCAAGTGGTTGTTCCATATAAACTTCTTCAACCAGATCACCATATAAGAAGGCATTTTTGACATCCAATTGAAACAACGGCCAGTTACAATTGGTGGGAATGGAAATAAGAACCCGAATAGAAGAAATCTTAGCAACAGGGGAAAAAGTCTCATCATAATCAACACCATAAGTCTGAGTGTACCCTTTTGCCACTAGACGAGCCTTCAACCGCTCAATAGACCCATCGTGAAGGTATTTAACTGTGCAGACTCACTTACAACCAACCGTTTTGGAGCCCGGAGGTAAGGGAACAAGATCCCATGTTCGATTATGGTGAAGGGCATCCATTTCATCTACCATGGCTTGGCGCCAATCCGAATCAGAAAGAGCATCCTGCAAAGTCTTGGGAACAAAAGTAGCAGACACTTTGAATAAAAAACAAGATAAACAGGATGAAATATGATGGTAGGAGACAAAGTTAGAAATGGGATGTGCAGTAACACACGACCGAATACCTTTACGGAGAGCAATAGGCAAATCGTCAAGCAAACTCAGAGGATCCAAAGACTCTGAAGGAAATGGAGGGAGCGAAGTAAGCGGTCGAGGTCGTGGAGTATAAACCTGCAAGGGACAACGGAGCGAGGAGGTGCAGAAGCAGGAAACAGAGAGGGAACCGTTGGCATAGGTGGCTCAGGAGTAATATCGAGAGGAGTAGTAGAATCAGAAAAATATGGGAGAAACTCAGAAAAGGAGACATCAGCAATCGTGAAATAGCGTTGAAAATGAGGATTGTAGCAACGATAACCCTTCTGAGTGCAAGAATACCCAAGAAAAACACACTTAGTGGCATGAGGGTCGAGTTTATCTAGATCAGGTCCAAGGTTATGGGCATAACACACACATCTAAAGACCCGAGGAGTAAGATTAAACGATGCGGAGTCGGAAAATAGATTAGAATGAGGAGATTTACCTTGTAACACTGACGAAGGCATCCGATTAATAAGATGACATGCCGTAAGAATAACATCAATCCAAAAACGTTTGGGAACATGCATATGAAATAAAAGGGCACGACAGACTTCCAGGAGATGAAGATTTTTACGTTCAACTACTCCGTTTTGTTGAGGAGTATAAGTACAAGATGATTGATGAATGATGCCTTTAGTATGAAAATAAGTCTCAAAAGGGTCCAAGAAATATTCTTTGGCATTGTCACAACGTAAAACTTTAATGGAACACCCAAATTGAGTTTTTATTTCTTTGCGAAATATTTAACAAATAGAGAATAACTCAGAACAATTTTTCATTAAAAACAACCAAGTCATACGAGAATGATCATCCACAAAAGTCACAAAATAACGAAATCCATTAATAGAAATATGTTTTATTGGTCCCCATACATCTGAATGAACTAACCGAAAAGGACTAGCAACGTGATTACTAGCTCTCGGTTTGAAAGATACACGACAATGCTTACTAAGCTGACATGCTTCACAAGACATGGACTCAACACGACTAAAACCGGGGACTTGACGCTGCAAAACTGATAATGATGGGTGGCCGAGACGACAATGCCACTAGAAAGAAGACAAAGATGATTGAAGAAGCGTGGGAGATGGTGCAAGATCGAAGTAATACAAACCACTTACTTCATGTCCCGTACCAAACTTCTTCTTCGTCTTGAGATCTTGAAAAATACAACATGTGGGATAAAATGTAACGGAGCAGTTAAGAGATTTAGTAATTTTACTAATGGACAACAAATTAAAATGGAATTGAGGAACATATAGCACAGAGGAAAGGGACATAGAAGAGGTGAGATGAATAGTTCCCAAACCCAAAACTTAGTTGATGATCCATTAGCAAGAGTAACACTTTGAGAGGAAGGAATAGACTGAAAATCAGATAAGAGATGAGAACTACCAGTCATGTGATCGGATGCGCCAGAGTTAAGAATCCAGGGACTTTGACGAAACGACACCATGGAAGATGAGGTGGAAGGCCGTTGTTGAGACTGAAACTGAGCATACTCATCGCGGGGAATCGTGACCATAGTAGGCTCAACAGCCACGTGTGGAACAGTGGGTGTGGTTGAGAAAGAAGAATCCCCTTCATTAGAAGTCACTTGATTTGCATAGGAAAAAGGTGGCGGTTTCCCATGAAGATCCCAACAGTAATTGACAGTGTCATTAATAACACCGCAGTGAGGGCAAAGTTTCGAGTCTCTGCCTCTGCCACGACCACGACCACAAGTAAAACGACCGCCACCGCTACGAGAAGACTGAAAGCCACCCTGGTTCACAACTAAGGCAGAACGTTCACTGGTAGGAGGAACAGTGACACCACTTGAAGCACCCCCTGAAGCGCCACTAGATAAAGTAACACACTAGAGTCTTGGTAACGTATTAGGAAGAGAGGGAAGTGCAGGGCTACCCAAAATATGTGCTCGAACAGGTTCATACTCTGGTGACAACCCTGTGAGAACCCGAACAACATTAAAATCCTCACGTTGTTGTTGCATGCTTTTCGCATTAGAGGTGATGGGTTGATACAAGTTCATTTCTTCACAAAGTCCCATTGCCCCGTGAGAGGTATTCTTCTAGACTGTGAGTACCTTACTAGAGGTCAAAGAATTGTCTGCACACCTCATAAATTCTGGTTATATTACCAACACCCGAATATAACTGTTGGAGTCGGGTCCATATCTCCTTGGCAGTGTCCAGATATAACAAGTTGGAGCTAATATGAGATTCAATACAATTCGGCATTAAAGAAATGATCTAAGCATCCCTTTGTTCCCATGAACTGATTTCAGCATCACTGTCTTTAGGTTTATCCTTAACCAAATGGGTGCCAAAGCCTTTGGCTTTCAGGAAAATGGCTACTGATTTGGCCCATAAAATATAATTTTTGCCATTGAGCTTGACAGAAGTCATGGGAGGATTGAAGGAGATAGAAGATAGCAGGTCTGAACTGGCAGCCATGGAGAAGAGAACCAAAAAAAAAAATGCAGAATCTATATTCTGGCCAGATCTGGGCAAGCAGGCCGGATCTGGGCAAACGGGCCAGATATTGGCAACCGGGTCGGATCTGGTCTGGATTAAAACCAAGTCTCTGCTATCCCGGTTTTAGTAAACCAGGGTTGGAATAGCATAACCGCGTAGCCAAACACGGTTGTTCTTTTTCACAACCTCACAGACAGACGCCGACAAGCACGCAGCGGCGACGGCAACCCAATCACAAGAAGCGGCCGACTCAATAAGCAGCGACACCACACCAAATCAGAACCTCTGCAACTTCCAGCCAAAAGAAAAGACGAATCGATGAAGCCTCACCTCTGCAAATAACAACGGTGGATGTCGGCGAGTCGCTGACAGCCAAAGCGGCAACAACTCGAGCAGCCAAATGGGCTTCAGGTCTGACGACGACGAATGAGGCTTCAGATCTAAGGACGACAAACGAGGAGCCCTCAATCCTGTTGGCGACCAAACCTCCAACAAAGACACCAACACCACAATCGCGATTCCGATCGCGATTCCAATCTTATACAAGAACAACACAATTGCCATTTCCCACACCGATGAATTCATATAGCTTTGATACCATGTTCGAATTCATGAGAGAGAGAGAGAGAGAGAGAGAGAGAGAGAGCAAATCTGTGTATATTGTATATATATTAACCCTAAGCCAACAAAGGCTTATATAAGGAAAAGAGTAATAACCTAATTACACAATGATCCTAACAACTATGGGTAATTGCATAATGACCCAACATAAATATATATATACATAAACATTCTAACAGGCTTAAAGCCAATGGAATCCTACACATCAGTTTAGTGCAGAAGCCTTTAATATCATGTCTAATTAAAATAATCCCAACTAGATCACATAGTACGCTGTTCAGAAATCAGCACATTTGGTGCTAGATTTTCTAGTTTCAGTGGAACTTCAATCACCTACAGGCACTGCTTGAAGCTTTGGCCGATGCTGAACTAAAGCATTTTCAGAGGCCATTTCAAAGACAACATCCTTGAGCTTGTTGGAGAGAACCTTAGCTATATCTCCAGCAGATGCTGGTGAGCAATCTAATTGGAATGCATCCTCCTTCCTTCTCTAAAAATGTGAAGAGTGGGTGCATTTCTCTACACTTTCTTTTTCTCTCATTTGAAACATAGTAGAGTGGAACTTGTCCCACCCCCTTTTTCTTTATTAGAGAAGTTATATCTCTACTAGGTAGATTCCAATTTAGGTTTTTACAGATCTATGCACTGTTTTTCCTTTTTCCTAGGAAATAACTCTTGAACCCTCCACCTTCCACTTTGAATATAGAGGATATACCACTAGGTGATTTATGCAGTGCTTGACTATAGTTGCCTTTTGATTTTCTATGAAGCATGTAAATTCAAGTACCAAAAATGTTTATGATGGCAACCATCACAGAACCTTTACCAATGTTAGAACTGAATGAAAGCTCAAGTCAACATAGGTCCTCATAAGGTGTGATTCACGGATTATAGTGTTTTACTCAAAACTGTGGTGCTAAATGTGCCTGCAATGAAAAATCATCACAGATATCTATGTTGCTCTCATATTTTTCTGCTTTTCTAACAACAATTATCCTGTGGATTGCTTTGTTTGCTTGCTTTTTTATAAATGTAACTGGTAAATTTCTGCAGGTGGCTGAACTGTGAAGACCCCTTAATCAATCACCATACGTGGACTAACTTGGAGGATAAGAATCTTCTGCATATTGTCCAACAGAAGGGGATCGAAAACTGGATTGATATCGCAGTATCACTGGGAACCAATAGGACACCATTTCAGTGTTTAGCACGATATCAAAGAAGTTTAAATGCTATGATACTGAAAAGCGAGTGGACTGAGGCTGAGGATGATAAACTTCGTGCTGCTGTAGAAACTTTTGGCGTGAGTAATTGGCAGCTAGTAGCTTCTACTTTGGAAGGAAGGACGGGTACCCAATGCTCTAATAGGTCAGTTAGCAATCTCAATGGTGATTTGAGTTTGCATTGCAGTTTGAATGTGGCCATCTAATAAATAAGCATAATAGTAAAAGTTAACACTACAATTTTTTTTCTCTGTTGAAGAAAGAGCAGTGGAGTTCTTGTGGACAAAATCTATGTGCATTGATTATCTGGTAATGTGATTTTCTAAATATTTATATATTCTGATGGGTCATGATATGATCTATATATATATATATATATATATATTATAGATATAGATATTCTGATGGGGCATGATTTGATATTCTTGCTTCTACCTTGTAGAATTTGCTACATCTACCATAGTATTTCTGGTGGTACAATCATATGTATATATAATCAGGATAATAATGAAAACTGTACAACTTTGTTTGCACTTGTGTAGGCGCATTAGAGAATTTTGGTGCACTCAATCCTGTTCTTGTTGACCTTTATATCCACTCCATGAATGAAAACCCCTTTATTTAATATATGGAATATGAAGATGAATGATTTCTTAAACTAAGACGTGGAAAGTGGAAACAAATAGTTTATGTAGTTGCACAAGTGCTTATCTGCAAACTTTTAGTAGTGGAGTAATAAATTTCTAACCTGTCAGTTCATTATTTTTAAGAAACTTTTAGATATTAATACGAATGCATATAAAAAATGACTGATGATTTCAGTCACTGGGTTTATAAGCACTGTGCATAATTTAGAATACAGGATTGGGATAGAGCTAGACCACTTGCCATAAAAAGTAGAGCAAGACTAATGTTACCCATGTCTTACCTGGGTCTGACACATGACACTTCAGTTTGAGTACATGCTATTGTGTCTGACTTGTCTGGTTAGACATGCACCTAGGTTGTATTTCGGATAATTGAAGTTTTATATAGTTGCACATAAAGTTGTCTGTCCATATCCTGTTAGTTATGTTATTATTTCAAAATGAGCGAGGTGCCTCATGTTGAACACTTTATATCACGAAAAAATGCAAAATTGCTGTGTATTTGTGTTTTAAGGCTTGTGAGTTTGATAATCTGATTATTATGTGCATACCTTTACCTATTCCATATATGTACGCAAGTCCATATAACACTAATCAAGGCTTTAATTCCCTTGAGGAGCTGGTCCTATTTTAGTTGTTGAAAACTGGTGACAGCGCTATACTTTCTTCACATGGGATGCACTCTGATTTATATTGTATTATGCTATTTAAAAATTCTGTTATACAAAAATATAAGGAAATAATGCCAACTTGAGTTGCATTTAGCTAGCTTACTCCTATGGGCTTTCGACTGTGAAGCATGCTGAAGATGCATATGGAAAACTCAAATTTGAAAACAGCACTATAAAGTCAATAGGGTACTTGAGGAATAGGCATCAGTTGTCAGACAAACTAGTCGACTGCCACCATAAATACAATGCTTCGTATAAGTGTTCATGCTTAGTACGGCACTTTAGTATGTGTATATGAAATGTGGCAGACATGTATAGTCTGACGTGCCCCGGATATGTGTATTTAATGATTAAAGGTTATTATATAGTCTTACAGATAATTTTCTTGGAGAGGGTGTTGATTGGGGGCCCAAGCCCGTGATTGTTGGAAGCTTACGGCTTTGTGCATTTGTTGGTGCTTATGGCTTGAAGGAAAGGAGAATCCTATTGGTGTGTAGAAGTATTCCATTATTAGCACTCTTTTTTGTTGGGTTCTAGGGAGAAATTGTAAATCCATGATGGAGTTAGTTTATTCTTTGGACTCTTTTGAGAGTTTAGAGGCCCTATTTGCTTTGTGTAGTTTCTAAGGGATGTGTTGCCCTTTCGAACACTCTTGTTAATACATACAATCTTACTTATAAAAATAAATAAATAATAAATAATAAATAATACAAATAATAAAAAAAACTTTGTGCTATATAAAAACACTACTTTATCATGCAATTTCTACTAATAACCTAGTAACATTTCCAAATGACTCATGACACAAATATGCCATGTGTATTTGATTGATATAGGACTGTTCTGTGATACTGTAGGTTCAATGTGTCAACGCATTAGCTTACCTGAAGAAAAAAAGAGGAATGAAAAAGTAAATATTCATGGTAGTTGGATTTTCTTTGTATTTTTGTGGTATCTAAGGCTTTTGGATGGCTTATTTCTCAAGTTGTTTATGAGCTTCTTTGTGATGTATGCTCCCACTTCAGCTAAAAGGGGTGTCAGCCAATGATGGTCTCCTCACCAAGGTGCTAGGAAGGGTGGACTAAGTTAGTGACCTAATTTTCAAGTTTTCTCTATAGCTACACTTGACAGCCCAAGCTTTTATTGTTGCACCAAGTAATCGCTGGTTTGCCTTCTTTACTAAGATTATTAGGTTTTAGCTTGTGCACAGTAAGGTGATAACTACTTGGTGTTTCTTGTCCAAGTATAATCATGTTAGTATTTTTTGTTTTCATTTTAGATGGAGTTCTTCTTAAGCTAAGTAAGATGCTTAGTAGAAATTTGCTTTTTGGTTATTGTTAATTGGTGCAATTGTGAGACATTCTGTGGATGACTAGCAGTTTAATAATTGATCCTTTTGTGGCTTTTTCGCAATAAACCAGTTAAATAACTTATGAAATCGTGTAATTATGAAACTGCAGATGGAAACAATCCCTTAACCCGGCCAGGCAAAGGGTAGGGAAATGGACTCCAGATGAGGACAAACGCTTAAAGGTGGCTGTAATGCTTTTTGGGCCCAAAACCTGGAAGAAAATAGCTCAATATGTGCCTGGTCGGACTCAAGTACAGTGTAGAGAAAGGTATGATAAATTAAATTTAAAAGTTAGTGTTGATGCATTTGATGTGTTTAAGTTGTGAGGCTTTGGTTTTTGTGCCAGATGGGTCAATTCCTTAGATCCTTCTTTAAATCTTGATAAATGGACTGAAGAAGAGGATTCAAGGTTGGAAGCAGCAATTGCAGAACATGGATATTGCTGGTCTAAAGTTGCTGCATGTGTGCCTCCACGTACTGATAGTCAGTGCCGGAGGTATGAAGTTTTGAACCCATCAAATTCTATAAATCACACTATAGTGATCTGAACTTTTTTTATTTGACTTATTTGTCTCAAAAGGAGATGGAAAGTGTTGTTTCCACATGAAGTGCCTTTGCTTCAAGCGGCTAAAAATATACAGAAAGCTGCTCTCATATCAAATTTTGTTGATCGGGAGTCTGAACGACCTGCCTTGGGACCTAATGATTTCGTTCCATTAACTCTGACGAATTCGATTCCTGAATCTGAAAATGTAAATCCTTCTGAGAAACGGAAGAGGCAGTCGAGGTATGATGGTCAAACATTTTTTATCTAGGATTCTGTTGTTTTACTTTTACTATATTGGTTTTTGTGCATTATGTGCAGGAGGCGGCTAGAATCCAAGGCAAAAGCCAATTCTTCTAGGTAAATTGCTTTCTAGTTGTGTCTCTTTATCTATCTTCAACTTTTTAAGGGATTAGACCTATCACTTTTTTTAGTTTCAAAATCCTAAACATGCGCCAAGGCCTGCATTACGTATGAATATGACTTCTTATTGCTTTTGTTGAATTGCAGCGACAAAAAAGAAAAGAGTGAGAAAGTTTCAAGGTTAATGAATAATGAGCTTGAGAACTCCGGTCGGGGTGATGCCACTTCAAAGAAGAAAAGAGCGAGAAAGTCATCATCACTTTGTCCAGAGCCAACACTGTCAACAATAACCAATAGTAAAGATGTCGGGGCATCTGATAGGGATAGTGCTACAAAGAAGAAAAAAGCTCCTTCTGGGAGACAGAAGAGGAAATCAAGGTATGCTACTCAAAACACTTCAATTTAGTATTTCTATATTATTGTTTTCAGTGCCTTTGCTGGTGCTGATTATTGTGTGATTCATTTGGTCTGCAGACTGAGGGCTGAACCCAAGGAATTTGACATAGCTTCTGGCAACAATGCCATTTCAGAGAAGAGAACACTAGCAAACCCATTTTCAAATGAGAATAAAGGTAGTGGTCCAACAAAAGAGCAGCCATTATCCTGTCCAGATTCGAACTTATTAATGATCACCAATGGTGAAGAAGCTTGTGTATCTGGCAGGGCTGATGCTACAAAGAATAAAAAGTCTTCTAAATTACATCCAAGGAAGAAAAAATGCATTGAACTACCCAAGGAAGTTCCAGAAATAACAAACTCTGATGAGGTTGAGACCTTTGGTGGAAATTATTCCATTTCAAAGAAGAGAAGAAAGGTAACTAAATCAAACTTGATGAAGAGTAAAGGTGGTGGTCCAACCGAATGTGACCTAATGATAGGCAATGGTGAAGAGGTTTTTCAATCTGGAGGGAATGATGCTGCAAAGAATGAAATGGTTTCAAAACTGCGACCAAGGAAGAATAAATGCATTGACATACAAGAGGAAGTCCCGGGGATGACCAACTCTGATGAGGTTGAAACCTTTTGTGGAAATGGTACCATTTCTAAGAAGAAAAGAAGGGTAACTACGCCACACTCAAAGAAGATCAAAAGTACTGATCCAACTGAAGATCATTCATTACCTAGTCCAAATTCAACAATGTTAGTTATCGGCAGTGGTGGAGAGGATGCGGCATTTAGTCGAGACAATGCTAAAAGAAATATATGTACTCAACTACCTGAGAAAATTACAGAGAGGATCAATTCCAATGAGGTTGAGACCTTCAGTGGAGATGAAACCATTTCAGAATGGATGAAAAGGTTGACTGAGTCACATTTAGAGCAGGATAAATGTATTGATCAAGTTCAAAATCATTCATCATCTTGTCCAGATCCAAAATTACATAGGGCAGTAGGTGGTGGTGATGCTCCTAATCGACATTTGAGGAGTATATACACTAAACTTTTGCAGGAAATCTCAGAGATAAATGATTCTGTGGTGGTTGAGGCTTTAAGAAACAATATTGCTTTTCCGAAGAAGAAAAGGGCAACCAAGCGATGTTTAGAGAAGAAGAATGAAGAGTTTGAGGCATTGGATGGAAATCATGCTACGGTGAAGAAAAGGGTTCCTAAACCATGTGCAAGGAATAAATCTACTGAGCCTTCCAAGGTTGGCCAGAGTCTTGTATCACTCCCTGCAAGTCTAGAAATAACAACGGCTGACACTGATGGCATCGAAACCTTGATTGAGGATGATGGTGGCCTGTGTAAGAAGGGAAGAGCTTCTAACCGGCATCCTAGGAGGATCAGATGTGCTGAACGGTCAGGAGAACAGCTGGAGTATGCAATATGTTCTGTAAAGGCAGCTAAATCACACACAAGTGGAAGTTCTGAAACACTGGAGGGCTCCCAGAGTATTTCATTAGCTCCAAAGTGTTCAATTTCTAAGATGATGGATCATGGAAATTCAGGGGCATCTAGTGTTTGCCAACATGCCAAAATGTCAAGGACTAGAGATAAAACTTATTCCAACCAGATTTTGGAAAGAAATGATGGGGATGACACGACTCTAACTTGCTTTCTTCGTGATAAATTGAAGAAGAGAAGGGTTGAACTTTCTGAAAATGGTAATGGCGCTTGCTGTACTGGCTGTACTGGAGGATCTGATTTTGCTTACCAAGGGAATAGGTCAACTTCGTGACATAAACCATGAAACAAATTGCTTTCTTTCCTTCAATTTGAAACTTGGACAAGCTGTAATGATGCCTATATTTTGTCCTCAGAAGATGCAGTTAGTCATCCAGAGGGGGTTCGAACCATTTTAGCTGTGATTAGTTGCAAAAAAGAACATTATTCGATGGTGGGATATTTCTTCTGCATGAACAGTACAAAAATTAGTAAGCATCAAGTGTGGAAAATTATTCTCAGATCCGCACCCGCCCAAACCTGGCTGGTGATAAGTGGATTTGGATGACTTATTTTTCTGAGCAGGTCAAAAACGGGCTGGACAAAAATAAGCTGCTTAATTCGGGGGTTAAATCGGGTTGAATATGGGTACCAGAATTCCATCCACTATAAAGATTAAAGAGAACCAGATATAAAGATTAAAGAGAACCAGAGTGCGTCAATTTAACCTAGCATGGTCTCTCTCTTCTATCTGCCTCTCTTACTCCTTCTCTCTCTTGTTCAGCCCTTCTCTTTCTCTTCGATTTCCATCCCTAATCATCTCCAAATCTTCTCAGCCCTAATAGTTTGTGATATCTCTCAGACGATCGAGCATGAGAAGCATCGGCTTAGGGTTTGAATCATCGGAAGAATAGATCAGGTTCTTCTCTTCTTTTTTCTCAGTCCTAGTATATATATTGGGATTTGTAAGACTTTGTAGCTGTTCGGTTTAACTGGGTCACCGTATTTATCTTTGTTTGTTATAGGTTTTATATATATGTGGGTGTATATTGGTATGAACAATGTGTTTGTTAGTTTCTGATTTCATTGGGTTAACTGGGTCACCATGCGTTTCTTTTGAGTTCTGATTATCATATTCTCTACTTGAGACAGAAAGCTTAGGTGGGTACGTGTTTTTTATTCTTAGTTTTCATTTAGTTTGCTATGTAATCGATTTTCATTCATGGTTTTTGTCAAAATTACTAATGTGGTTCTTCTTAAGAATTGCTTTTGAAATTGTGACTTGGCAGATATATATAAAGAGCAAACACTAGTTTTTTTTGTTCTGTGTGGTATTATTTTAATCACTTATATATAGAAGTTGATGAATCAGTGGTAAGTATATTTAAAGTTGTTTCATTTCACCAATGGATTTTATGGTATAATGCAAAATTGAAATGTTTTTTCTTCCCAAACACTTGAAAATTCATCACCCAAATCAGTATTTCTGTCACGAGTGACAAGTTCGGGATTTGTGAGGCTTAGGACCTTCAAGTTGGTCATAAATAAGGACATTTTAGTTGTGACATTAATGTTTTTAATGCTACTATCCTTTGGGTATGGGAGGCGACGTGGTTGATCCCATCGCATAGAACTCTCCTCTAGGAGCTCTGCTTCCTAATTTCTTAAAAACTAGTCATGCACCATATATTGCATTCTACTCTGAGCTAACTTAATCCATTTACGCTTTTGATTCAACGTTAATGGAAGAGATCTGAAATAAGGCTTTGTTGTTCTTGTTGTTTTCATTGTTTTATATATGTGTTCACTGAAATATGAGACGCTTCTTGTAACTTTGGAAGAAAATATTTTTTTAACATGAATTTCCTTTCCCACTCTCAGATGCTAACTTAAGATTTTTTATATCTTCTCTCGACTCTGAGATTCAAATTATTTTTAAAAATTCAACAACAAATGCGTTTGTGGCTCCTGTGACACTGCCTGGGCTTTTGAGAGTATCATTATAATTTGATTCCTCGTTTGAAGGATAGTGGCAGTCAGAGCTCAGAGGAGGTGGTTCTGGAATTAGGTGCTAGCCTTCAGCATTTCCCTCATTTCATTTTGATAATGGAAATTCTGTGGACTGTTAAAATATGTAAAAAGTGGTTCCCTGGAGTAATGAGGTGAAAAGGACCCTTCCAATGTCAATTGTCATGAGTTATGTGACCTATTGTCTAGCTTGAATTTGTTATCAGTTAGGTAACCAACAAGTTTCAAAAGGCACTTGTAGTCATGTTGGAGTTGATTTGTCAATAAACTTGAGGAATTTGAACCAGAAACATTCATCTGTGTCTATATTACAACTCCACCAGGTTTAATTATCAGTGATGTGCTAATCTTTGTAGAACCTTGTTGTGTCGGACCTGACGGTGTCTTTTGAGATAGCTTGATCAGGCGTATATTTTTGAGGTTCAAACAAAACAACTCTCAGCAGTTTTAATAATCTTAATAAGTAGCATGGAAAGTGCCAGAACCTAAGATCTAAATTTCTAAATTTTTGGTGGTATGTATGACGGTCCTAAATGTTATTTTACCTCCAGGGAGTCAAAAGTTTAAACTTTGTTTCTACGGTGAATTTTGAACCCATAATTACTCAACTCGATAGTGATTCAAAAGCCTTTGACTAGGTAAGTAACGGTGGCTCTCGGGGATTTTTGGTCATTGTTCTTGTGACTATATTAATGAAAGTGATAGAAATATGTGAGTTGCAAAGATTAATTAAATGTTCTGTTGAACATTTAATTTGTTTGCAGAAATGTGAATTGATAGTAAACTATATTGGCCCTTCATCCTGATCTTTCAAAATCTGGATCTTGAACCTGCATTCTTGGGTTTTCAAAATTTTAAGTTCGTCTGTGTTATGGGAGATGACTGTCGGGGAGTCTTCTTGTACAAGTTTACCACAAATATACTCGTATTTCATTATACTGTATGGGTGCTTTGAGGAAGTATTCGTTCTTTCGGATGTGCATCTACGTTAATTTCATACACAAGGGCACCCTTTCCTTTCCTTTAGGACCAACTCCATTATGATTCTTTTTGAAGGTTTCAAGGGAAGAATGGGCCAATTTTTTTATGGTGCCGAATGCTTGTACCAAATTGATTGAAATACTTTGCAGTGTGGGTATTTGATATTGTAATTCAAACGATTTTAGGATGGGGAGATATTGTTATAGTCGAATGGATTTCTTATAATCTCTAGCCAATGTTAAATTATGAAAATAGTTGCATGTAATTCTAATAGCCCAAGCTAAATACAGATAATTAGTGAGCAATAGTTATATTTCGTGTATACTAATTTTCACAAGTCGAAGGAGTTGGTAGTAACTCTAAAGTAACACCAGTAGCTTCAGGTAACACAAAAAAAAAAGAGAGAGAGAGAGAGTAAACTCAACCTTGGTAATCTAATGCTCCTCTCTCCTAGTCGCCCTTTCTTTTCTACCCCAAGAGTGAAAGAAAAATGAGATCTATCAAGAATTTTCCGTGTCAAAACGGGTACTGCTCCACTAGTGCACATTTTCTGAGCATAGTAACTAATGCGCTTATAACCACAAAATTCATTCCCTGCATCAAATCATGTACTAGAATGCAATCCTATCAAGGATTATTATGTCTTGGCAAGAAAGGTGGTTTCAAACAAATTGAATAAGCAAAACAACTTGGATTGATAGTCTGAAAACCCGATATGACAACACCAACAAAAATATCCAAAAATACCAGTGGCCTCAAAGCCATCAAACAACATAGATAAGAGAGTACAAATATCCTTCCAACATATTTCAACTGAAACCTAACAAGGCTCTTGATGCTATTATGAAAGCATTTGCTAATTGCTCGCCTAAATCTTTTAAATTTAAATCTTTCAAATTTAACGCCCGATAGTCCAAACCCTGACTATACCATCAGTGTACCCGCTGAATAATGTGCTTCCATCAGCACTCCAATTCAAGCTGGTGCAGTATATGACCTGCATTCATAATTCAAAATGTTAAACAACTAAAACAACCATTTCAACATCACTACTTATTACTGGACCATTTCTGAACTACACAGATTACAAATTTCATTTGACAATAAAAAAATGAGAAATAAAATCACTAAAAAGTGATATAATGTAGTGTGTGTTACATACTCTCAGCTGCAAAAACTGCAGAGGGTAAGAAAGGCCGAGCTTCAACTTCTTATTTATACTTAATATAACATGAATATACACAAACTCCATCATTCATGTAAGAAATGAAATACCATGTGGTGAATGGACAAGACTCCAACTTCTTATTTATACTTAATATAACATGAATATATGCAAACTAAGTGACTATATATTCAAAAAATTAATCCAGGACAATAGCGATGCACCGGATTACTTTTGCAGTATTAGAACCACCATCAATATACTTCATAGGATAATATTAAACAAAATTAAGGAGAAAAGGACTTTACAAACCTTTAATGCTGGCCGTATAGTTTAGTCTATTACTTAAGCACAACCTTGAGGCAATCGATCTAATCAGACCACTCAAATTAACAGTACAATGAAAGCTTCTAATTAACATAGTAAGCCAAAAAAAAAATAACCACAAAGGATACTCAAATTAACTCAAATTAACAGTACAATGAAAGATTCTAATTAACATATTAAGCTGATAAATTATTACAGATTTGAAAAAACAACCAAAAAGGATAAATTAACTAATGATATCAGGAAACAACTTGTAAAACAAAATTGCAATCATAAATTAGAATGAAAACACCCGCTATGTTAGAGGATAGCTCAATTGTTATCTGAAATCAAGTAGAAAGAGGCAAATGCTAGCCCCAGCGAAAAGTTCATTTTTAATTCTTGACATAAGAGCCAGGGCATTTATTTTGTTCACAAGTTATAGTAATTCCAAACAATATCCCAAAAAAAAATAATGAAACAAGGTTTCTTTACATGCAAAGTGGCAAAGGTGTTATGTATTTCTACTAAATGCAACAACTTCCTCCAACACAGATAAATTAGCAATTTTTCTAATAAAAGACAAAATTGCAATCATAAATTAGAATGAACTCACCCGCTATGTTAGAGGATAGCTCAATTGTAATCTGAAATCAAGTAGAAAGAGGCAAATGCTACCCCCAGTGAAAAGTTCATTTTTAATTCTTGACATAAGAGCCAGGGCATTTATTTTGTTCACAAGTTATAGTAATTCCAAACAATATCCCAAAAAACAATAATGAAACAAGGTTTCTTTACATGCAAAGTGGCAAAGGTGTTATGTATTTCTACTAAATGCAACAACTTTCTCCAACACAGATAAATTAGCATTTTTTTCTAATATTAGAGAGCATAACAGGAAAACTCAGCGAACAATATCAGCCAACAACATTAACAAATGCAAATTCCCAAAGAAAAAGAATTGAACAGTCTATGAAAAGTATATTGAGTCATATTGGGTAAAAGCAATGTCAAAATTAACAATTAGAAAAGTTAACATATGCCAAAAACCATGCAAAGATTACTTCCAACTGATTTACCAAAACAACTAAAAAAAAATAATATAGGGATTTGATGAATCAAAGAAAATAGGATGAAAATGTTTTGAGGTATTTCTAAATTTCAAATAAGATACGAGTGTTGCTCCAATTACAGCACATAAAATAAAGGATACCAGAACTAAATAAATTAGACAAATGTCAGCTAGTAAAAATATGACTTTTAGCAACAAAAGCCGAGCATGTGAAGAAAGATATACTCCGTATTAAACAAAGCATGCATAGTAATGGACATGCATAGTAATGGGCATGAAGAAATAATCAACATTTATGAACCATATGTTAACATTTTATACATTAAAATGTATAAATATTTTAATTAAGGCATGCTTATATGCATATATAAGTCATAAATAATGAAACAAACACAAGCACAAACATCGATAAAAATGCTAATAATCAACAACCCAACAACAATCCAATAATATATATACGTATAGATAAAGGGTACGATTATAATAGACCTTGTTCTTGCCCACAGCTGTTTGGGTTGTGTCATTCATATCGGACTCATTCTTCAGATCAACCCTGAGCTCCGCAACAATGCTCTTACTCTCCAAGTCCCAGATCTTTATGCTTGCCTCCGTGGCCGCGCAGAGCCAGTACCGATTCGGACTGAAGCACAGCGAGTGAATGATCGAACCGGCATCGAGCGAGTAGAGACGCTTCCCCTCCGACAAATCCCACAGCAAAATCACTCCGTCCTTCCCACCACTAGCACACAGCGAACCATCCGGCGACACCGCCACCGTGTTCACGTAGCCACCGTGGCCGGCCAAAGTGGACTTCAGCTTGCAATTGGTCAAATTCCAAATCTTCACGGTCCTATCCCAGGACGACGACACGATGGTCGGCTGGAGATTATTGGGGCTGAAGCGGACGCAACTCACCCAATCAGAGTGGGCGTCGCCATCCTGAATGGTGTACTTGCACTCACCGAGTGTGTTCCAGAGCCTGATCGAACGGTCACGGGAGGCCGACACGATCTGACGGTTGTCGATGGAGAAGGCGACGGAGAGCACGTCCTTGGTGTGACCCACGAATCGGCGAGCGGTGGTGCCGGCGGCGAGGTCCCAGAGGCGGAGCTCACCGTCCCAGGAACCGGATAGGGCGAATTGGCCGTCCGATGAGAGGACAACATCTTGGACGAAATGGGAGTGGCCAGTTAGCCTACGGCGAGGAACACCGTAGGTCTTCTCCTCCTTGGTGAGGTGCCAGAGGATGATTGACTTGTCCCGAGAGGCGGTGACGATCATGTCGGAGTTGTCGATCGGTGTAGCGATGGCGGTGACCCAGTCGGTGTGAGCCCTCATAGTTCCTTTGAGGGTCAGATTCTCTGCCATTTTTTCTCTCTAGAGTATCTACTTCCTCTCTCTAGGGTTTGGGAGTGAGAGGCTGATGAAATGTGGTGAGAGGAAAACCCTAATCGCTGAAGTGTGGTATATATAGGGTTGGCCTTTGCGGCTGATTTTAGGGTTTTTGGAAAGAATGGAATGGATCAATGCGACTTGACTGTGTAAGTTGGGTCGAGTTATCGGGCTTCGGGTAACCGAATCGGTTATTTACTTAAGCTTCATATTTACATAAAATTTAACTTTTAAAATTTTTGTTACTTAATTTTCAATTTTATCAAATAAGATCTGAATTTCAAATTTTTAAAATTAATGAACTAAACCATTCAAGACTTTTCTATATTTAAATTTTTTTAGTATAACATTTTTTTAAGAAATACTTATCAACTAAAACTTTTAAAAGTAAAAATTCATAGAAAAAAATGTGTATTTCTATGTAAAAAGAAAAATTTATTAAAACCGCTTGATTTACGTACTGCGTCACCAAATACTGATTTGATAGAAGCAACACTTTTTTTGGCAGTTCTACATGAAAAAAAGTGATTATTACAAGTTAGGCATGTCTAAAAAATCAAAGTTAGAGCACGACAATAATAATGTAAAACTGTATATTCAAACATGTGAGTTAAACGTAACACAGTAACAAAGATAATTTATCAAAAAATATAAAAGTATATGTCAAATAATAAATAAATAAATAAAAACAACAATATATAAATACAACTTAGAATTATAAATTTTAAATTACTTTTTAAAAAAACCATAAAGCAACATTTGTGCTTTAAAATTAAATTTATAGAGCTGATAACGTGTTGTTAAAAGTACTGCTGTAATTTTTTTTTTTTTTTTTTTGAACTCCCCTGGGCAAAGCCCCAAGGACCCAAAGGGAAAAGTCTGAAAAACACCCTTGTGATTTTCAATTTGTGCGAATTACACCCTTTTAGTTAAATTTGTTTATATAAATCCCTACAAGATATAAAAATATGCAATTAAGCACCTCCGGTGAGAATTCTGGTGAGAATTCTACGTCAGTTGGTCATGTGCCATGCACATGACCATTTTAAACCATTTATTCCAAAATTGCCCTTCTTATATTCCTTTACTACCCCTGACCATATATATATGTATAACCCAAATCTCTCTCTCCATCTCAGTCTCTCGCCTCTTTTCATTCTACCTCCTACAAACCCATTTGTATCTCTCACCCAATGCCTTCTGAGTTCTGAACCAGGTGGTTCGATATTAAATGAAGACCTCTTAATTCTTATATATATATATACTCCTTATATTTTTGTGATCACAATCTAATCAATTTAAGGGGTGTAAGAAAGGGTGTGGTTAGGAAGGGGATGGAGTTGCATGGATATGTAAAATGATTCGTGTTCGAATTAAGGACACACAAGTTAGATGTACTTGAATCTGAATCTCTCTTAAAAAGTTCTTCACACAGAGAATTACATGTGTGCATGTGTGTGAGAGAGAGCTCTTTATCGTTCTCACATATATTCACTCTTACACTGTCCCTTGACCGCAGCTAAAATGCGCAGCAAGGCGAGCTTCGCCTCCTCTAGAGGCACTGCCGCCATCGTCGGCGTCGGCCCCAAGCTCGGCCGCTTCATCGCCTGCAAGTTCGCACACGAAGGCTACACCGTCGCCATCCTGGCCCGTGACCTAGAGATCGATTAAATATGATACATAAAGAGATTATAATATTGATACAAAGAAAAAGTAGAGAGAGAAAAATTGCAAAATTTGTATGAAGAAATTAGAGAAATTTTAGTTACTAATCGACGGATTTTTCTAGCAGACAAAAAAAGAGAGAAATCTGAGAAATCGTCGTTCACTCGATCGAGTTCCTTCCTCTTCATCTTCAACGGCAAGTACCTTGCCATGCTTTGAACTCCAACAAAACAAACCCTAACTAAACTAAACCCTAAAAATTCTTAATCATTTGTACTATATATATATATATATATATAAAGCTATATTTATGAACAACCATGGATGCTCTCTCCTTCGTGAGCAGAGGATCGAATTTGCCCCCGTAGCTGCTTGTGTCGAGGGGGTTCCATTTACCAAACATATGCTCTGATCCAATCACATCAGAAACAAAGCTCTCAGGTCAAAAATAAGCAAGGAGCGTCGCGATCCCTATTCTGATCCCGAACGGCGAACCCGAACTGGAATAGCAGGCGATGGAAACCGAAAGATATGGGTTTTGATTTTTTGAACAATCTGAAATGGAAACTGAAAAATAAGGGTTTTAATTTTTTGAACAATCTAAAATGATATGCCGATATGGGTTTTGATAGGTAATAGGTTTTGAACTTTTTTTTTTCTAGTTGGTTTTGAACTTTTGATTCTTGCCATATGGGTTTTGAACTTCTGATTCTTGTATGGTTTTGAGTTTGCAGTTGCAGAGAGGCAGGGGGCAAGATCAATGTCGAAAAGGAGAATAAAGATGGAGAGGGCTATTTTAGTCTTTTTATATTTTATGTTATAATATTAGTTTTTTAAAATCATAAATAGAGGGTTATTTTAGTCTTTTTGTAGCTCCGGTACCGGTCAATAGCGGTCAACGCCCAAAATGCACTAATTCACACCATTTTTAAAGTATAGAGAAAGTAAACAAACAATATGGGGTTATACGCACTATCTCGATATCACAGGGGTGTAAAGCGCACGCGACCCTATTATAAATTCAGGTTACTGATTCATGGATACAATGAAATTAACAAATTATTTAAAAAACTAAAATTGCATGAAAATAAAAATACATGCATACATATATATATAAATTAACTATACTTTCCTCCCCTTTAATCTTGATTTATTACACTTGCTTCTCTTATGTTTTGAATAATTACAACTACCTCCCTTTTAGTTATACATTATGAGCCCGTTTGACATGCGCTTTATTTTGTGCGTTTTGTTTTTGGTTAAAACATAAATAGTGTTTTTATTGTGGGAGTGTTTTGGAAAAAATTTATAAACACGTTTGGGAACGATATTTTGCTATGGAAATGTTGGAAACAAAAACATGTAAAACATGTTTAGTAGGTCGTGCATTTCAAAAATTTTGAAAACAAAACATATTTGGTCAGTCCAACTGTTGCCAAAAAAAATAAAACAGAAACAAAAAAACATGTTTGGTTATCTTTGTTTTTAATTTGTTTTATAAATTTAAAGTATATGTATAAATAGTTATCATATATTTAAAAGATATGGAGAAATTTGAACACACAAACATATATATTTATAATTTATATATATATATATATATATATATATATAAATTTTTGCAATAACCTATTTATAAGTTGTTTGCAATAACCTACTTCAATTTTATTATTATATTACATGTATAGTCCAACACAACATTAAAAATAAAACATCTCTAGTCACATTTTACTATATTACATGAGAGTCAACATTTGTAAATTTTTTTGTTCAAACTTAAACTCAATGTCACATTTTATAAAATGGTAAATTTATATAAATAGTCATTAAATTTTATAATTTATTTACAAAAATGTCTACAAAGTACATTTTAATAATTAAAATGTTATCAATATTTTTTCATATATAAACTATATAATAAGTGGCTATAAAAGCCCTAAAAAAAAATTTGCAATAACCTATTTATAAATTGTTTGCAATAACCTGCTTCAATTTTATTATCCTGTTACCTGTATAGTCCAACACAACATTAAAAATAAAAACAAACCGAACTGAAAGTATAATTGGAATAGTGTATACCATTTACAAGTGCTTAAATATTCAACCAACAAATTAAACAAGATTAAGTTCTAAATAAAATGTTTGGAACAAAGCATTAACAATACATAATTTGTCACTAAAAATTGATAATATGTTCATAAAGTGGATGACAATGGCAACAACACATCATCTTCGTAACAGCACATGTGGCCTTCAAGAGAGTATCAACACACTTTATATCTGCAATAATAGCATTTAAGTTAAAATATATTAACAATAATATCAGCCAGTAATAGTAACAGCAAAATAGCAGGGTGTAATAATTTTTGCAGTAATGGTGACAGTAAAAATGATATATATTACAAGTCCACAATAGTAACAAATATATTACATATAAAATAAAAAACATACCATCACTTTCAGAAGGATCAAGAATGCCGAAGAGAATTCCAAATTCGATCAGCAATAATATTACGTAACTGATCCATTTCGCGAAGCTGAGCCGAAGGCACATGCTCAACAATCTCATCATATTCACCATCACTTAAAGAAGGATCATTGATACTGATTTCTAATGAAGTTATATAATGTGCAATAAGCCATTATAATCAATACTTGTGTTGGAAACTTATAAGGAGGCATTGCCTTCAAATTAGCGAATCTCATCTTCAACAACCCAAAGCATTGCTTAATTATATTTCTCAAAGATGAATGCCTATGATTGAACACTTCCTCCCGACCATGAGGTTGTTTAGTCATACGATATTCCTGAAAGTGGTAAGTATGACCTCGAAATGGAGCCAAATAACCAGGCTTGTTGGCATACCCTGAGTCCACCAAATAATACTTATCTACCATGTTTAGAATATATAAATATATATACACTATGATAAACTAACCATATATTAAGTGAATTTGTAAGATAATATTACCTGGTGGTGGAGCTGGAAAGTTCATTGCCTCATTCTCAATACACTCCTTTAGGATTCTCGAATCATTAGCGGAGCCTTCCCACCCAACTATCACATATGTGAACCTCATGTCAAAGTCACATACAGCCATTACATTTTGTGTGGTACAACCCTTTTCTACCACGAAATGAAAGTTATGTACCTGCTGGCAAAGTTGCAGGAATGTGGGTTCCATCTATAGCTCCCACGCAATTCTTGAAGTAAGGGTAAAACTTAAAAGACTTTTTATTCTTATTCGGAATCACAAAAAAATCAGGAAGGGCAATGATATAGGTGCCCAACTGACATACTGCATGCAACACAGCATGGACATGTCTGGAAATAGTTTTAGTGTAGTGTTGAAATCTCTCTGCTACAACACAATTCCTTTGACTATGAGATA